CTTCTCTTATTATTGCGACCGGTTGGTCTGCCTCATCGTGGAGGCAGTCAAAAGAATTGATGTTAGCAGTTATTTAACAGGCAGCCGCTCGTTGCTCAACTGGCCACTTTTTGCGTATGCCTTTGTCCAAGAGCGTATTTACTGAAGCCACAAGCATGGTCTCCGACGGGGAGCTTTTAGCCATTGTAAATCAAAATTCAGTGGTCGCAAATGCATTACGACTGCGACCGCTGCATGAAAGACGGGCTGAGTGGTAAGCTCGATCGTTTTCTTTCTGGCAAGTCAGCATATCGCAGACGCGCACGTCCTTGCCCTAGCCTAGCCCTGCATCTCTTTATGCCAAACAGCCCGCGATGCTACCACTTGAAGTCTCCCCGAATCCTTGACATGAAACCCTGAAACCCAGCTCCAGCCTCCGGACGAATAGGATGTGCAGCCCTCCAGCAGGATCTGGCCACTGTGCTGATGCAGACCCTCAGCGGCAACGATCGCACCTTCCAAGGCCGTCGTGGTCCAGGCATATGCAAAACGAAGCACACCCCCCCCCCTATAAACATGGCCAGAAGGATCTTGATTGGTTTCATTTGCCCTTCTTCCAGAGCCATGTGAGGGCTTCTTTTTTTCATTAAGTGGAGGGGCTTCGGGACTCGAAGCTTTCTGAAACCCTTACGAAAAAGCAAGCGCTCGCCCTGCTGCAGGCTGCTGCACAGAGAAAGTTCACCCCACCTGGCCTCCATTTCCCGTTGCAGAGGCATTCTGCATGGTCACATTGCCGTCCAAGACCTCTACCATGCCGCGCTGAACGTAAACAGCACCTGCAACAGGGCTTTCTGACAGAGGTCCCCAAATCAGAGAAATCTCCGCACGACCACAGGCGATTAGGCACCGACCTAGGGACAACCGGGCTTGGGGATGTTTGATGCTTAGCACCTACAATCCGAGAGCAGAAACGACGTAGGGAACCCCTTGCAGCCCACATGTCCGTGAACAGGCCAGAGATCTTCGCAGCATGAGAATTGTGGCCCTTCTAGTACCTCCCTTAGGCCCCCTGAGCACGTCCTGAGGCTCCCTACCCCCCTTGGACCCATATCCCTGAACCCCAGAATCTCCCCCCCCAAAAAAAGAAGAGTAAGTTTAGAGAGGGTGAATTTTAGGCCTCCTTCCTCCTCCGCCTCGCATTCACGAGCTCGGAAGACCCCACCGGACCTCTCTTTTGCGGCTTCTTGGAAGCCCCTTTGGACTTCGTAAGGAGGGTTCGTCAGGTTGGCTCTGGGGACGATAATCGGGTTTCTAAGGATACTAAGTTGACTTCGTAAGGAGGGCTCGTCAGGCGGGCTAGGGATACGAAGTAGACTTGCTAAGTCCAAAGAGCTTCCCAAGTTGACAAGAGCTGAATGGGCGTTGAAAAGGCTTACTTGGGTACTCAGACGCAGGCTTTTAAGTAGGGTCGGTTATAAATATACTAATGCCAAGCACCCATGGCCCATGAACCCCGAAGCAGTTGGTACATGTGCGGACGCCCTACACGCCTTACCCTATGATGTTTCCTTTGCCATGGTTCTTTGCAGGTTTCTGCTCTCGGGGAGCCGTTTTGTTTGGGTTGACGAACAAGATGGTATGCGTGGAATGAGGAAGGCGGAAGGTTCTTTTCTCCATGCGTTTCTTTCAGCAGAGGTCACCGGCAGTTGGTGGTGACGATGCTTATGAGGCAATGGCTCGAGAATGTAGAAGACATTCATTCTGCTGCTTTTGATGACTGTGCTTCCTTGCGCGTGAACCTGCAGGCAAAATGTCCCTGTAGGGACTATACATACTGTTGGTTAAACGGGAATGCAGGAATGACTATGATAGTAAACCGAATCATGCCCCACTCCTTCTACCCCTACAAACCAACAGTAAGATGATGGAAGTAGCTTCAAAATTGGGAGGTTGGGGTTTCATGGCGGCTCAAAGCTACATGCCGCAACTGCCACGCCGTTCGCTTGGCAATCCCTGGTTAATACTTACTGCGCCGCCCTCTTATCAAAATTTGACATCCAGGGATACAGCAGCACGCAGCATGTCAAGTTTTTCAGGAAAGGCAGCCCGGGCCAGATTTAGAAGGTCTGTGCCACCCTGTCGAGCACGCATGCTTGTAAGTAACGAAACATGAACTTGATTCCCAATACAACGGCCGAATATGCCCATAAACACGCGCAACCCACTTCGGAGTCCAGGAAACCCGACGAACCCACCGGTCGGGAAGAAAGAAGCTAAAGCAAACAAAGACTGAAACCTAAACCGCCGAAAAATCCCACACGAGCCTACAGCCCCTTTTTTGCAACTGGGCTTGAGGACCTAAAGCCCCCTAAACCCTGAACCCTCAACCCTTTCCAACCCAGGCTCATCCCCTGTCAGCCGTGAACCCTAAACCCTAAACCCTAAACCCTAGACCCGAGACCCTAGACCCTAGACCCTAAACCCTAAACCCTACCCCTTGTAGGTGTCCGAAAGGCACGGTGAAGTTGCCCGTGACAGCCACACATCCTCAGGGTCGAGGATTGGGGCCATGGCTTGGTATTTAGGCTGAGAAAATGGGTTAGGGTTTAGGGTTTAGGGCTTAGGGCTTAGGGTTTAGGGTTTAGGGTTCAGGGTTCAGGGTTCAGGGTTCAGGGTTTAGGGTTTAGGGTTTAGGGTTTAGGGTTTAGGGTTTAGGGTTTAGGGTTTAGGGTTTAGGGTTTAGGGTTTAGGGTTTAGGGTTTAGGGCTCTTAAACTCCAACTCTTCGGGAATCCTGGCCTCCGTTCTCCGCGGAGCCGCCCTCCAGCGCCAGCTGCCCACCTCTCTGCACCAGGCCCTGGGAAGCCAAAATGGCGCCTTGCCGACAGCTTTACAGGGTAGAGGAGGTGTGGCTTTGGGTGCTTCAGGCCCTTAAGACCCCATGAAGAAGATTCCTTTACATGATCGATCCGGCTACCTAGCTTCTAAGGCAATTGAGGGCTTCTTGTTTGTGGCTTCCGTCTGCCTTAGGGGTTGTTTCGGTCTTCTGGGTTCTCGCAGCGCGTCTCTCTCCCAGTTTCCGGGGCTTTTTGGGAGCAGTCCGCCCGCCATTGCTAGGGTTTAGGGTTTAGAGTTTAGGGTTTAGGGTTTAGGGTTTAGGGTTTAGGGTTTAGGGTTTAGGGTTTAGGGTTTAGGGTTTAGGGTTTAGGGTTTAGGGTTTAGGGTTTAGGGTTTAGGGTTTAGGGTTTAGGGTTTAGGGTTTAGGGGTTAGGGTTTCGGGGTTAGGGTTTAGGGTTTAGGGTTTAGGGTTTAGGGTTTAGGGTTTAGGGTTTAGGGTTTAGGGTTTAGGGTTTAGGGTTTAGGGTTTAGGGTTTAGGGTTTAGGGTTTAGGGTTTAGGGTTTAGGGTTTAGGGGTTTAAACCCTAAAACCTTTCGGAGGCTTGGCGCTGTATCGATCGATACACTTGTGTGTTGGCAAAACCTGCAGTCCGAACAGGATTGCTGCTAGGAACTCAAGTTGAGTAACCATACCTTTAAACTTAAAGCAACGGTGGGTTTCCTTACTATGGTCACTTAAGTGAAGTTCCTTGACAAGAACCCAAAAACTCCCTCTACCTGCAGCCCCAGGTCCTAAAAGAAGCCTCCATTGCCAGCTCCCACCGACGCGTTCCAGATGGACATGCTCCCACCAGAGACCTTCCGCATGATCCGACCAAAATTAGGCATCCCTTTTGGGCTTTTGAGATGGGGAGTTTGGCATACTTTGGGCTATATGAGGTTTCCTACTTTTGGGAACAATCCCGCAGATGCTGCACAGGCCAGGATCAGGGAAGTGCTTGGCTGAAGCGGCTGAAGCCGCAGGCCTCTCACCAAGAGAAGCCCTAAAGGTACTGCAGTTGCATGGTCCCTTAAATTGGGGAGCCCTCACACGCTCCTGATATACCCTACGCAGCCCAAGGGCCCAGACCTCAGACCCTTCATGGAAGGTAACGGATGATACAAAGTGAGCACGCAACTACCCTTGGAAAACCGTTACAGCAAGTCTGCGGCCGATGGCCCAAACATCCTCCTAAATCCCCCCAGCGGCGGGACCAAGAAAACTTCCCTTCACCGGTTCGAGGAGTTTAGGGATGTGCTTGTTTTTTCTTTGTTGTCTTGCCCTTTTCCAAGAGACTTCGCCCGCCTCGACAACATCCCCGTGAGCCAAGGCAGCCCGAAACCCTTAAGCCCGAAACCCTGTTTTGCCCCGCAAAATCCGAAGCAGTGAGACACTGACCTCCAAGCGCCCCTCCACGGCGATGGCACCTACGTGCAAAGCTCAAATTCTGGAAAGGTTTAGGGGGTTTGCTCCAGAGTTCTTGGAACACCTCCTCACAAAACCCTGCCGATGGCGCCGCCTTCATATACGAAGACAAAAACCAGCTAAGACCATGGAAAGCATACGGTCTTACAGGCTATCCAAGCAACATCCAAGAACGATGTTCACAAACTGTCTAGTAGAGTGCTTCTAGTTTAGAGTCCCGCGCGGCATTTGGAGGACGCTTGTTGAGGGTCTACTTGGAGGTTCAAGGGTACTTACAGGCAGGCCGACAGTTAGGGTGATAACCTTGTTTAGGGTACTTACAACCCCACTTATCAGTACCCCCAGTACAGCTCAAGGCTTCTCAGGGCTTCGGCTCTCATACTCGCATTGTCTTACTTCTGCGGTCTTGGAGTCTGACTGGATTACTACTATTTGGATATAAATAATAATAGTAATAATAATAGTAATAATAATAATAATAGTAATAATAACAATAGTAATAATACTAGTAATCATAATCATAATCATATCATACTAGTAATCACACTGATAATAATCCTTACGTGACCCTCGTAAAGAAGAATCGTTTATGCTTTTGGTGTGGTTCTGAAGCAAATGGTAGATCTGGGCCGGTTGTGGCGCGCGTTTTGCTCCGGGGGCTGGGGGGAGAGGTTAAGGGAATTAAGGGGTGTAAGGAGGGGCGCAGAGAAGGAACCCTTTCGTCCGACTTTCCATGTCCGCTCGCTTCTGCTGTTAGGCCCCCTCCTGTCTGAACCCAAGGCCCCGAAAACCTAAACACCCTGCAAACCCTAAAACCCGAAAACCCGAAAAACCCGATGAATCCGAAAAAACCTAAAAACCCTAAAAGCCTAGAAACCCTAAAACCCCTAAACTAAAAACCCTAAAGCCCGAAGGCCCTACAAGCCCCAAAACGCCCCAAAAACCCCCTAAATCCTCAAGTGAGGATAGCCGAAAAGCAGGCCGTTAAAGCCCTAAACCCTAAACCCAAAACCCTAAACCCTAAACCCTAAACCCTAAGCCCATCCGAAAGCGCCAAAGGCATAGGTGAAAAGCGGGCCTCCACCATGCGTGGCAGAGCAGCTGGAGGCTTCGCAGCTGCCGCCCCACTGCCGAAGGCTCCCTGAAGGTGCTTTTTTTGCACTTTTCAGCCTTGAACTGGGGTTTCGGGTTTAGGGTTTAGGGTTAGGGGTTTAGGGGTTAGAGGTTTTGGGGTTTGGGGTTTGGAGTTTGGGGTTGGGCCGGTTTGGGGTGATGCGGGGGTGCCCTTTCAGAACGCCAGAGCTCAATGGGTCAAGTGGGGTTCTGCTACAGGAGACAGCATTAACAGCTGCTTCCAGCATTCCAAGTCAACCACGTTAAGCCGTGGCTAAGCCCTGAACCCTTAAACCCTAAACCCTATTAACCCTAACCCTACTAAGCCGTAAACTCTAAACCTCATTCAGCCCTGAACCCTGAACCCTTTGGCAACTGGGCTGTAATCGTCTGCCCTACCCCTAAACCCTAAACCCTACTCCGAACCCCGACTCGCCCGCCACCCGGCCTTTCACATGCAGCGCTCCTCCCCGCGACTGGTTCTCTGCGTGGCACTCCTTGAACCTTTGCTCTCTCTGAAGAGGGGCAATCCGAGCGCGAGACAAGAGCATGAGCCCCGATGCACTTCAAGCGCAGCTGGGGCAACAGGCACTGAAGCGCTGCCAAAACAAAAAAGGCCCGTAAGCCCTGAACCCTGAACCCCAAACCCGAACTAACACCCAAACCCTGGGCAACAGGTACCCCTGAACCCTAAACCCTAAACCCCGAACCCTAAACCCTAAACCCTAAACCCAAATTTCGGAGACCCAGCATTCCACTACAACATACAGGTCACGACCCCGCAGCTCTCGGAAGGTGTGCAAGGTTGTGTTGGGGTATAGGCTTTAGGGTTTGGGGTTTTTATTTGGGGGGTTAGAGTTTAGGGTGCAGGGTTTAGGGTTTGGGGTTTAGGGTTTAGGGTTTAGGGTTTAAAGGGGGAACTGAATGCAAAGTAGAACCCCAGCGAGGCACTGAAGTGCACCGCGCCCAAGATTGACATCGCCAGCTACCTCGGGAGTTGGGGTCTCGAAGTGGTAGGGTTTAGGGTTTAGGGTTTAGGGTTTAGGGTTTAGGGTTGAGGGTTGAGGGTTTAGGGCTTAGGGCTTAGGGCTTAGGGCCTGGGGCTTAGGGCTTAGGGCTTAGGGCCCACTACAGGCCACATTCAGCTACATCCCACGGCGCTGCTTCAAGCATCAAAAGTGGCGTCTCCGCCCATGCACCACTCAGTACTACTCCCGTCTGACATCGGCCACTATGAAAGACGGCAGCCTTGTCTCTCCCCCGCAACTGAACAAACAAATCCAGGCCCAGTTTGAAACCCAGGATGCCCTGAACCCTAAACCCTAAACCCTAAACCCTAGACGGTAGGCTTCTGAAGATTCTCGCCTAGTCGGTGCGCAGTACGTTGGACTGAACCCTGCCACGACAGAACGGCCAGATCTGTTCTCCTGACAGCGCAACCAATTCTGCAGCTGCTGGCTTCGAAATCTGGCTGCAATACCCTGAACCATGAACCCTCCATCTGGGCTGGGTGGGGCATCCCCAAACCCTGAACCCTAAACACAGAATGCCCCCCATTTCATCGGGGGAACGTGCATGGCCCCTCCGTTGGAAGCTCTCCCGGCACTGGAGCAGCGCTCGAAGCGGACAGAGCCTTGCAGGACTTCAGCAAAGCGAGGGTTTGCGCGCAAACCTTTCTCCCGAAACCCTACATTGCTCCTGCACGGGCGGTTCTGCGGCAGGGGGGCTATCTGAAGCCGAGTCGCGATTCAAGTGGCCGACAGCCACCGGATTTGGGACGGGGGGGCCTTAAACCCTAAACCCTAAACTCTAAACCTCCTACCCCTACAATCTGTGGCCGAAAACATCCTAAGCCCCAAACACTAGCCAAGCCCGAAGGAGTTCAACTGAGCAAACAACTTCAGGCCAGATTCCTCCGCGGAGATCCACGTTGCCCTGGACATGAAGTGCGGCGCCGTGCAGACTCCCGTGATTGTGGCAGCCTACAGGCTGCTTGGCGTTGAGGCGGGGCCTAGTTTTCGAACCTAGGGTTAGGGCGGCTATACGGCTTAGGGCCGGGGTTCAGGCCGTTTAGGGCCTCATAGGGTTCAGGGTTCGAGGGCGGCGGGTTCGGAATTTTGGGATCCTGGCTTCGGCTGCGCGCGGCCTCATGCCACAACCCTGCTAAGCTTTAAAGCATTCAGCCCTAAAAGCGAACCCTAAGCCAAAACCTGGCGAGCCCACCCTTTATGCATCCAGGCCTCTGCGAACAATGTCGGGCAACCCCAAAACATGAGCTCATCTTCTTCTTCTTCTTCTTCTTCTTCTTCTTCTTCTTCTTCTTCTTCTTCTTCTTCTTCTTCTTCTTCTTCTTCTTCTTCTTCTTCTTCTTCTTCTTCTTCTTCTTCTTCTTCTTCTTCTTCTTCTTCTTCTTCTTCTGCGCAGCACGTGTAGCCCTAAACCTTACAACACTAAAACCACAAACCCTGAAAGTAGTCCGAACCCCTCCTAAAACCCTGTTGTGAAACCCATCCCCCCCTACCCCTTGGCCGTATACCGCCAAACCCTATCGTGAACCCTTCAACCTGCTAGACCACTCTCCTGAACCCTGAACCCCTTGAGTTGAGGGTTTAGGGTTTTTGGTTTAAGTAGGGTTTGGGTTTTAGGGTTCAGGGTTCAGGGTTTAGCGTAGGGTTTGGGGTTTAGGGCTTGGGGTTTAGGGACACGCCTTCAAAGTCCAGCTTGGCCGCGGCTGGAAGGTCGAGGTTCCCCTCGACCGTGACGCAGGGCGCCTGGGAGCGCTTTTCTTTCTTGGAGGTTGGAGAGGTACTTATGAGTAGGTTTAGGGTTTAGGGCTTGGTTTAGGGTTAAGCGTTTAGGGCTCTAAGTAGAGCCTGGTTTAGCCCTCCATCATAAAGCCTGCTGGAACTCGAAGCTCACCAAGCCTTTCCTGGTCTACTTTGCGATTGCCGAAGCCTCTTGAAGCCTCATAGCCCTCGACCCCCTCCAAATTTGGCGCGCCCTAAACCCTAAGCCCTTTTTTGCTTCCGGACTCCCGTGGGTGCAACCCTAAACCCTAAACCCTAAACCCTAAAAACCCTAAACCCGCGGCTCCCGCCTGCAAAGCCTCAACGCCACGGATTCGCAGGTCGCCCTCGATGCTGACGCTGTGGCGGAACCTCTCTGAGCGAAGGCTCGAGTGGGCTCGAGGGATGGTTATGGTTTAGGGTTTCGACTGGCACAGGGTTTAGGGCTTAGGGTTTAGGGTTTAGGGTTCAGGGTTCAGGGTTTAGGGTTTAGGGTTTCGGCTCTCACACTCGCGCAAGGCAGGGGTTTAGGGTTTCGGGTTTAGGGTGCCCTTGGGGGTACGCTTCGCCCTGGACCCCCTGCTTCAGCTCAAAAGAGTTTTGGGGCTTGGGGTTTAGGGTTCCGGGTCGGGACCATGATGGTGTCTAAAATTCAAGAGCGGGTTCTGGGGCCGGGCTTGGTGGGTCAGGTTTCTGACAACCAGGGAGCCGCATGGGTGCCCGAAGCAGGATTTCGGCACCTGGGTGCGGAAGCTGGGGAGATTGCGGACACTCAGGACTCCACATCCTGCAGAGGGTTCGAGGTATCGCGGGAAGAGTGAAGGCACTACGAAGTTCCGATGCACCGATCATTCAACTGCTAGACATCGGGCGTGATCACTTTCAACTAAGCGCGGGGCTCTTGGCGCTCACATTGCAAGGCTCCCGGTAGTCTACTTCCGCACCGACCTGCGATCACTACGAACATGTGCAGCGTGTGCAGATGGGAATTTGGGATCAAGTGCACCAAGCCACACGCAGACTGCACTTGCGAAAAGAGAGAAGGCGAAGGAGACGCAGAAGGAGAGAGTGCAAGACCGGGCAGGCTCTGGGGAGGAGGAGGAGGAGGAGGAGGGGTCAGTAGCTGCCGGGAATCATCGGCCAGCCCCACCCAAGAAAAACCTATGCAAGACTTCAAAGCCCTAAACCCTAAACCCTAAACCCTAAACCCCAAACCCTAAACCCTAAACCCCAAGAAAAAGGCAATCCTAAACCTTACAGGCCTGAAGGCCTCGCAAAGCCAGGGGCATCCTGAAAGCCGACCTTCAGACCGAAACCGACCCAAATCTCCCCTTGTTCTTAGTAGGGTTTAGGGTTTAGGGTTTAGGGTTTAGGGTTTAGGGAATGAGGTACCCCAATATACATATATATATATATGTGTATATATATATATACCCTTTTGGAGATTATATAAGGCCCTCATTCCCTCATTCCCTACTAAGAACCAGCCAGAGAACTCCAAGTAAACGCGACGGCACCTCGTAGCTGCCCGAGAGATGGAGGGCTCCCTGGCTGCAGGGAGGTAGAGCCTGAGGCACCTCGGGAGAGCTTGAAGATGGGGGGGGGAGGGGGGGGCACTCGTTTGAGTAGAAGGGGGTTTAGGGTTGAGGGTTTAGGGTTTGGGGTTGAGGGTTGAGGGTTGAGGGTTGAGGGGTTAAAGTTTAAGGATACTTGGGCACTCCACGCACGTTGATGACAACCATCCAGGGGCGATAGTCGATGTTGGGTACAGAAACGCGTTCGGCTCACGAACACCTCGTTCATCAGCACGTTGGCCGGGACCCTAAACCCTAAACCAGGGATTGACTAGACCAAAGCCACCAACCCGGGTTTAAGGGGTCAGGGCTTCTTTCGCAACGTAGCAGCATGTCGACGAAGATGATTCACAGTAACTCTGCAAACGTATGCCTTTACAAAACATCGAAAGGACCTACCTGGCTTCTAGGAATTTGGTTATACGCACACTCCACACCGTCCGAGACTGCCTGTGAATGTGTCGAACAACGCTCCTGAGAGACAACATCCAAGAGGTATTCCAATCCTTTTGAAAAACCACACACGTTGATACTCACGTGAATCCGATTTGCTCAGAATTTGCTCTGCTCTGACGAGGACTTAAAATTTCTTCCTATGCAAAGCCAACTCGTCTTCTCAAACTTGACGAATCTCACAGACAGTGAACTCCATGTAAGTGTATGGGCACGAAGAAAGTCATGGTTCTGTGCCAGGCTGAAGACGTTGATTGTGTAGTTGAGAGCGTAACATAGGGGCCTGAATACTTGCAATAGGGTTTTGGGGTGTTACTATAGCATAAACATAAAGGCAGCATAAGGGAACACCATTAGTACTGTTTCCGATCCCTATATTGCATGTGGATAGTGTCCCCAGTGGACTGGAACCTCCAAGACATCATACCGACACGCTCGCATTGAACCAGGGCTGCCTCATGGCCGGGGGTAAAAGAGGGGTCGGAACAGTTGCTAATCATGTTCCCTTACGTTCTCCTTGTAATTATACTACAATAACCCCGCAAAACGCTATTCTAGTTATTCAAGCCCCTATAGTACTCGGTGTGCGATGGAGGAGCGGACCTCTCAACCATAGACGTTAGACAATCAGGCTGCGGCCATGACGAAAAGCAAAACTGCAGCTCTCACTTCAACTCCTATCGCCTTTGCAGTTTGAGCCCTAAACCCCAAACCCTAAACCCTAAACCCTAAACCCTAAACCCTAAACCCTAAACCCTAAACCCTCAACCGTGCGTGGAAGTCTGAGTCTGAGTTGCAACTACCGGTTTGGGCAAGGGGGCTACTTGAGGGTTTAGGACTTGGGGTCCCGAAAAAACCTGGGAGCCATGCTTTCCTATTCGGCCCTGGAGCCCGAAACCCAAAGCCCTAAACCAACGTTCATCCCTTTTGAACCCGGGCTGAGGTGCCGCCACCCTAAACCCTAAACCCTAAACCCTAAACCCTCAACCCTAAACCCTCAACCCTAAACCCTAAACCCAACCTCTCCAAGCCCAGAAACCTCCCCGAAGCCCACCGAAGCCCAAAGCTTCCAAGCCAGGGCTCCTCCGAAGCGGCGCCGTGGCCTCAGGGAGCAGCAGCAAGAACTTATTGCGAGGGTTTAGGGTTAGGGTTTAGGGTTTGGGGTTTAGGGTTTAGGGTTTGGGGTTTAGGGTTTGGGGTTTAGGGTTCAGGGTTTAGGGTTTAGGGCTCAGGGTACTAACAGCAATTGCATGGTGCGAATAAGCCGTGATAAGGAAAATAGTAGTAGAAGTTGATTGTGTACGAGCATACATTGCATTCATATGCTATTGTATCGTATAACATATAAGAACACTGTACTTGTATACCGAAAACCGAAAAATATGTTGGAATAATAAATAGGAAAAGAATATATGAAGATATATATATATATATAAACAACAACGACAACAACAATAATAGTGGTAGGATAACAATAGCAAAGGTGAACTAAAATGATACTTTAGCAAAAGCGAGTAGTTAGTGTCTCTCCCGGCTTACATGCATTTGTGCGCGCACACATGCATGTCAGGCAGGGCCACAGCTGGAACGCAAAACCACGGAATGAAGTCTGCGTGCATCGACTGGCACGAAGCAAGCTACAGAAGCGCATCAGCATGCATCAGGGTTTCGGGTTTTGGGTTTAGGGTTTAGGGTTTAGGGCAGCTCAAACTGACATGCAGCATGCAGCCGTGAGCTGGCAAGCACGCCACTGAAGCTTTGTACTTGGCAAAGCCATGCTGATAACCCGCATACACACATGTTTGTGCGCGCTGAGCAATGGTCGATGGTCATGCCTGAAAGCTGCAAGGCGGCCTATTTAGGGCTCAAGCGAAACGAAACATTCAGTATTTACTTCATCGAGTTTCTACATACATTTTTTCAGAAGAATGTCGTGCTGTCACGGTATGTATGGATGCATACCTACACGTGTGTGTGTGTGTTTGAAATCATGCCGCATCCGTGTGCAAGCATACCTTTGTATCTACAAGTGGGCCGTGCTTTTAATAGGCATGTGACAACGGGCACCATAACAGTTCCACAGCAACTTAGCTGCAGACGTTGCAATAGAAAGCTGTCTCGCAGAAGATCAACAGCTGCGATGTCAAACTGGTCCGAGATGCCTCAGGTCTCATGGGAGCAGCTTTACTCTATGGACCCACTCCGCGTTCCGTACATGAGCAGATAGCAACAAACCAGCTTTGGCATATTGCGGGGGCCTACATTTATCTGCGTTCATTCAATCTGGTGTGTTGGGCTTTCTCCGTTCTCGTTCATTGCCAGTGGAGCGCCGAAATTTCATGTGCGGGGAATTGGGCTCTTAAGAACCTGTTTTTTTTTCGGCTGCCCCCTCCTTCTGGGCACCCATAAAGCCCTCTAAAAAATCTTCCAATAACTCTCCACGGAAAGCCACCAGCGAGAAACGAGATTTTTCACCTGCTGGGGCCGGGGTTCCTTGACCTGACCCACCAGGTGGTGGTTTACGGATTTTTTTTGCCGCCCGCCTAGCTGAACTGAACGTCCACATTGAGGGTTATGGCTTGGGTTTAGGGTCTAGGCGTCTAGGGTTTCGGGTTTATGTAGGGTTTGGGGCGCAATTCAAGCAGCAATTGACTGAGCTCTCGGCGCTCCGCCAGGTCTGGATGGCTCAGCAGCACAAGCAACCAAGCAAAAGGCCCCCAGGGAAGCCGAAGCATCTTCAGACATCCCAAACAGCATCTACTGGGTTCGACCTGGGAGTGGGAGGGCGAGAACTCGCACTTAAAGACGCTGGAGAAAGGACTTTGTACTCCCCCCACTCCCAGGGTCCCCCGCACGAGGGGGGACCTGTCGCACGGATATGGAGGGTGAGACTTCACAAGCTACCTGTGGAAAGCTGCTTGGAGGAGGCTCGAGCCACCTCTGCAGCACGACTCGACCGACTTGCAGGATCGTGAGAAAGGGGGGCCACAGCATTTCGTAACGAAATAACCAACATACAAGTGAGAATGGGCACCTCAATTAAGACACACAGAGATGACGATCAAAAGATGGGTCTAAATAAGACATACCCAAACAAATGAGCCAAGAGACCGAGAGAGAGAGAGCGAGAGAAGATAAAAGATAAAATGCAAAGAGAAAGTGGAAACTGAGAAAACTACAGAAAACGGGAGATAACAAAGATAAAGAAAATGTATACACCGAGATAAAGGTACCTAACTAGACAACTTTAGACACAGAGAGAGAGAGAGAGAGCGAGAGAGAGCAGGCAGAGACAGCAGCACAGGCACAAACACAGACACGCAGACAAGAAAGAGAGAGAAAAAGGAAAGATGAAGAGAAAAAAAAGACAGGGAGAGAGAGAGAGAGACAGCTGAACAATGAGAGAACAACAATGAGAGAACAACGAAGAAAGCTGGCTTCACGTTCAATGCGGACCCACCCATGGCGACCCGAACGCTCTTCCAAGCCTCTCTTCCCAAAGTTGAAGTCGAAGGCCAGTAGTCAATAGCCAACAGCTCATGGACATGGTACTACCCTGTGGCAACATCACCAGCGATCTGTTTCTCTTGACAGGCAGCTGTCAGGCGTTCCGGTGCGGTGCACTGTGGCACTGTGAGGCATTTCTGGATGCTGCACTTCACGGGGTCTCTGGCGAGACTTCCGTCTGCGGCTTGCAAGGTTTGGCTGTGCAATGTCTTTGACAGCACAGGCTCTGTCCCAGAGGTGCGTGCTATGCAGAGAGTAGTGGTTGGTGCCCGACAGCACCTTCAGGGCCTCTGTGGCTGCTGTGGCATCTTTCATCATCTCCCAGTTCCAGCAAAAGCCACGCTGAGGCAGCTTCATGAAGGGCACGTAAGGTGCACACCATGTCAGCTCTAGAGCCTGCAGGCGGACCCAAGGTGGCAAACTACCTGTCACAGCCGGAGGACCACGAAACTGCGACAGAGATGCTGGAGTGGTGCGCGGGTCCAAGCCAGCTATGTGGCTTCCGGGAACTGAGAAGTGCCGAGGTTGGTGGCATGCCAAACTCACTCCTCCCTGCTCGGAATTAACCTTCAGGTTCTGCTGTAGCATCCTCGCTCCTGCAGGCATGTCATGGCACATGAGTCCATCATCAACTTAATCAGATCTCGCAAAGCAGAAAAACAAACAAAGAGTGCATCTAAATCCTCGGTAGTAGCCGTTCAGCTCGGCCTCACCCTCTGCCTGTCAGCGCCAGCGTGTCGATGCAAGAACAACACTGGAGCAAGAAAAACACCAAGCATCACAAGGCCCTGATAGGCCCGGCCTGAAGTCTCCTTATTATGTCTCCATGGCGACATCCCAGCCGACCACTGGGGGCAAGGAGGCGTCTACGATCTGCGGCGCCTTGGCGTTACCCCTCTCCATCGCACGATCCAGGCCTGGCTGAAGCGATGCGAGCCGTCAAGTCAACCCGCCCATTGGAGCTTGCCGTTCCTCACAGGAAAGCCATTAAATTCCATCCAATTGATAAACTTAATGATTTAGAGCTGAGAATCTTTGATCGTTTTCGTCCACCAAGATATTGGAACGAAGAAGAACACGAACCAATATACCTTGATTGGTTCGAATATTATCGGGTTTTCATGACACTCAAGAAAAGCTTAACGACGGAACATCCATGTGGAAGCAATATCAATCATGTTCTGCCAGAATGCAGCCATCACCTAAACGATACACGGTAGGTCGGGTACGTGGAATTTACGAAAATAAGGGACCCCTGATAATATGTACCCCCACAAGAGCAGACTCTGCAGATGTGCAGTGCACCAAACTGCAAGGACCGTTTGCTCATGCAAGTGGCAGCAAGTGTCTCACTGAAAGCAGGCCTTCAATGCTACATACGGAAGCGGGTGCATACCGCTATACATGATGCGCTTTCGCTACGCGTTCCTAGCTTGAGCAAAGCAGACACAGCTTCGGTGTTGCAAGTCAATGTTTCGGGGTGCCGGTGCCCGAATGCCGATTCGGATTTGAAGTGAGTTCACTTTTGTTCTTGAATGAGAGGTGAAATTACGTTGATGACACAAAGGCTGCCTGAACCTTAAACGAGATTCAGAATTCCTGCGCTGTTGGCTGAACTTTGTCACTTGCCACCGGGTGCCCATAAGTTTAGAATGCTGTCGATGTCCCAGCGGTTCACATGCGAAGATTCATAGAGCATGTTCCTGCATGCTGTCGTCAGGGACATACTTGTGCGCAGGAACGGGCATGCGAATGCACCCGAGGCTCTTGAAGGATGGCGTAAGCTTTCGTCCAACCCAGGGCCGGACCCGAAGGAGCACGCGCAGATGAAGATTGGAATGGGATTGCCATGAATGATACTCGTGTTGAATCCTGCCGCTTCCATTGCTTGGGACGAGTTTGTGGGTCCGGGCTTTAAAGGGAGGACCGACACCTCTGCCAAGAAGAATGCACGCGGGCCTCAGGAGCTGGAGATGAGTGTCTCAAGGTCTTCAGAGGGGTTCCCCTCGCAAAATATGTGCAAGGTATCACTATCTCTGCTGCAAGTCCGAAGGGGTCCCAGAAAGGCAAGAGTTCTGGGAATTTGCCCTGCATGCAGGCCTGTACTAGTTTTTCATCGTACTGTAGCATGCGCTCGTGATGCAGCTGTCTCGGTGGGGCCTGCGGGGGAATCTCCGTCCACGTACATGCCAAGCGATGGTGTGGACGCTTATGGCAATTCCATGTGCACGTCGTAGGGGCACTTCACATTGCACTCGCCCAGTGGGCCCCACACGCTGCCGCTGCATAAACAGTGAGACGGCCGTAGTGGCCAGGTTCAACTCTGAATTGCCTCTAACCTGCTGCGACCACACCGGACAACACAAAAGCCTTAAATCCTCAGCCCCTAAGCCTTTGGGGGCCTCTTCGCACCTGGAGTCGGAGACCATGCCCTAAACCCAAAACCCTAAACCCTAAACCCTAAACCCTAAACCCTACGGCCCCAAAAGCCATGGACCCCCAAACGCATGAAGCAACCAGTGCACGCCCTTCATCTTCTTCCCCTAGAAAAACCCCCCTTATCTATCCCTCTATAGACCCAAGAAGCCCTGACATGACCCCGAAGGTCCCATACCAGGGTCCCCTCCTTTAGTCCCTGGTCTGCTCGCACCAGGTTTTAGGAGGGGTAAAGGTTTAAAATGAGCTTCACGTGCTGCGCAATCGTCGAAGCAGCACTGAGGCGCAAAGCCCTGGCTGTTAAGATCAGACACTGAAAACCCCCGAAAAGCGTAGGGTCCTGGACTTCTTAGATAGTTTTTGTGAGCCAGCAAGCCCCCCTTCTTCCAGATCTGAACCCGAAAAGCCGAATCTCAGGAGGGTTGGAGACCTCTTTGGCCTCGGACATCCGATCCCTTGCTATACTCCGCCGACTCCGCCGACCCGCGCCGGAGTGGGGGAGGCGTTAGTGAAGACCCATTCTCGGTCATCCGGTCCCCCACCGCCTCATCTGCACCCCCCTCTCATCCCATCATGCAATGTTTTTTCAGAAGTCATGCAGTGTTTGTTGGGGCACCAGTGTTTTGAGGGTCCTGTACCCTTTTGCTTTTAAGGGGCTCCCCTCCCACCCCCCCCACCCCCCAACCCCGGAACTTGCTGTGTATCACATTCCCTATATACAAGGGCGAGGGACGATAAAAGCCTTAGAGGGTTGAGGGTTTCGTATTGTTAGAGCCCGGCCTTGACACCCGTGTCCCCCCGCGGTGCAGTGCGCCAACCTTTTCCTGCCTCAGAAGACCCTCGAAATTCTGGTTTAAAAACCACACTTTAAGCCTCGTAAATAACTAAGCCCCAAAGCAGTGGGGCTTTTGTATTTTAGAGGACTCTTGCGCGCTTGGCTCACTCCTTTTCTCAGTGAGCCCACAAAGCTGCGAATGCCACTTAAAAAAGGTAGCGCTACTTCTTAAAAGCCCTCTCACAGACATGTTTGAGTATGTTTGCACCCGGTTTCGTTTTTCTCTCTTACCAAGCACATGTTCAAGGCCCATCAAGCTCTCAACAGCCCTATGTAAAAGAGGCCTATTGAAGACTTAAAGTCGTAGTAAACGACTACTACCATGTCGGAATTTCAGTCATATACAACGTGTGCGGATCTTAGTGGGTTCTGCATATGCAGTCTTTCATGAAAAACCACTCTAGGGTCTTATTGCATCTTATTGCCGATGCGTATCCACAAAGCTAAGTGAAGAAAACATGCAATACAGATTGCATCTCATGAACATCGTTACCTTGGGATAACAAGGTCTTGAGCTTTTCCAATCCTTGTAGGTTCTTCTAAAGGTGTGATACGCTCCTGAGCGATTATGCGAACCTTAGGTTCTCGTTAACGCAATCGAACGAACATCGTAACTGTCGGGACTCTAAATAGCTTATTGAAGATTAGGAGTGCTCTTTGAGGGGGCCGGGGGCTGCCGCCAGTGAAGTGTCCATGCAGTAGGGGGGTACTCATTTCATCGTGAAACGTTCGGGTTGAGAGCTTGATTTCATCCTGCACATGAAGGCGAATCCCGTAAAGCATTTTAGAGGCCTTTGTCAAGTGAAATGTGCATTTGAGAAGTGCCGCGTGCCCTATCCAATTGGAGCGGGAGAGTTGAGGTGTCTCCTTTTTGGCTCTGGGATTTGAGGATTTCTCTGCTGGCGAGAAAAGCTCAGAAACGCACAAGTTTACAACAAGTACAATGCGTACAGCCGGAGCTCTGAAATTCCAAATTCCAACTTTCCCGGAGGTTCCCAAAATCTTTTCGTTCGTCGGACGGTTCGATCTTTGATTTCATACATAGACATATATATATATATGTCTATATATATATACATATATGTATCTGTATATGCGCATGTGTCTTTCTCATTTTGCGGGGGAATTTTCTTTTTTCTCCACGACCACTCATGACACCCCTCAAGGAGAGCCAGAGCTTGGCTCCATGCAGAAGTTGCCTCCGTTTGGAGATTCGAATTGACAGAGGCAGGGGGGCCTCTTAAGAATTTGGGCTTAGGGTTTGGGGTTTGGGGGGTTTGGGGTTGAGGGTTTAGGGCTTAGGGCTTAGGGCTTAGGGCTTAGGGCTTAGGGCTTAGGGCTTAGGGCTTGGGGTTGCTTTTTTCGCCTGGGCTGAAGGGCTGAGCTCGAGGGGTTCGGGGGTTTGGGAGGCTTACACAGGGAGGTTTCTCTGAGGTTTAGGGGGTCTGGGAGGCTTATGCAGGGGAGTTCAAAGCGTTCAGGGAGTTTAGGGGTGGCGGGCTCTAAGTCAGGGCGCACTCGCCAATCCCAAGCTCTGAGTCAGGAGCCTCAAGGACTCCGGTGCAAGTCGCAAGCCGGAAGCCCTTCCATACTCGCGAGGATTTAAGTAAACCCTAAACCCTAAACGCTAAACCCCATCTTGGTCTCTCCTCGCACGGCGCGGGCTTCGGCCGGGCAGCTCCAAGCGGAGCCTCACCGCTCGGCGAGCGCGGCCCTGTGGTACAGCAGGGATTGAGACGTTAGGGTTTAGGGTTTGGGGTTTAGGGTTTAGGGTTTAGGGCTTAGGGCTTAGGGCTTAGGGGTTCATGGGCTTCTGACGCCTGTTTTTGTGAGGCCCCAATCACCTGAGCACGGCCGGCAAGGGCTGAGGGTTCAGGGCTTCTGCACGCACGGGTTTGGGGTTTAGGGTTTCGCCTCTCGCGCTTGCTAGGGTTTAGGGCTTTGGGGTTGAGAAAGGGTACTTCCATAATGGCGAACGGCTAAGGGTCATGTTCACAAAGAGCCATCGAGTACCTTCGCGCTATCCCAGTTGCCTGTCTGCACCTGCCCAAACGAGGAACTAGGATGGCCCCCAAAAAACCCTCTGGAAAGCTATTCCTAGACATGATCCTCTTAAACCCAATAAGGGAAAATGTGACATATCCCAAGGGCCCACCTAGAGAATGAGTTCTGAGATCATTCCAGATACTCTCACTTGCTAGAATCCATTTGGGCCGGGGGGGTGGGGGCGGGGGGGTTGCAGCCGGGCAAGGCGGAGTTCTTTGAACAGCCTAGAAAGACATCCTAGACACCCTTTCAAGGGATTTCCAGCCCTCCACCCGTTTTTCCTGAACCCCCTGGCGCCGGTGTTCAGAAGGCCTTTGCGACACACCGTCTCAACAACTCCCACATGAATCTAGACCCTCAAAAGGACTTGGTGACTGCCAGAAGGGCATTCCCACTTCACAAAGCGTTTTGCTAAACCCTAGAAACCCTAAACCCTGAACCCTAAACCCTACACCCTAAACCCTAAACCCTAAACCCTAAACCCCAGGAACTCAGAGCCCTGCTCGTCATCTGACTTGGCCCTCGTCGGAGACGTCGGAGCTGGCCACACAGGAAACTTCAGCTTGGTGAGCCCTGGGTTTAGGGTTTAGGGTTTAGGGTTTAGGGTTTAGGGTTTAGGGCCTGAATTTGTTTGAGGCACTCGGGGGCTGTTTTTTTGGGGAACCTGCTTACATCTTCTGCAGCTGTTGCGTTTCCATAAGTCCCCACACACGGAAGGGGCCCCTGAGATGAAACCAGACCGCGAGCATGGGCTCTTTCAGTTCCGAAAGCCAACGATGGCCTGTTCAAGGGCTGGTCCTGAAATCAATACAGGGGCGTTCCGAAAAGTTGTGCGCCTTGTGAGCAGATTCCATGATATTTGGGAGGACCACAGTTCTTTGGAGAAGTCAAACTTGAGAGTAGGTCTAGTCCCTCATCCCTCTAAGGCTAAGGCGGAAGGCACAGCTCGGGAGTTCGGTAAGTACAGGGTCGAACGATGACTCTTGGCAGGTTCGCCTTATACTAACAGTCCTTCATGGAAATGATGGTGCCCCCTGTTCTAATCCCCTATTTAGGATTGTTAGTACAAGGGGGAACATCCGAAGGTAACTCCTACGAGCTCACAAAGCCTGATCGTTTGGCACCGAAGTTGCTCACGCTCCGACTGAGCTGACCTGGGCTTGCAACCACAGAATCCATTCTGGGGCCTTTCCGGGCCTTACTCCTCCAATAACCCAGGGGAAAAAGGCTAAACTTTATTTTTCCTGCCAAATAAGGAAGCCCAAAAAGTTTAAAGTTCAGCTGTTGGAGAAGTAAGGGACAGGATTTGACAGGGAGGGCTCAGCTTAGATACGGCGGCACGCTTTTCGCAGCCGTGCTCCTTAAGCTCAGGGTTTAGGGTTAAGGGTTAAGGGTTTAGGGCTTTTAGGGTTCAGGGTTCAGGCTCACACAGGGCCATCCCCGAGGCTCCGGCCAAACCAATCCATGGGCCGCTGCAGCAGATCTTCGACCTCTCCATGTTTGGTTCAGGGTTTAGGGTTTAGGGTTTAGGGTTTAGGGTTTAGGGTTTAGGGTTTAGGGTTTAGGGTTTAGGGTTTAGGGTCTAGGGTCTAGGGTCTAGGGGTTAGGGTTTAGGGTTTAGGGTTTAGGGTTTGCGTGGCCTTGACGGCGATGCTGTGGGCTGTGGTTACATACGCATTCGCTATTTGTGTGGTATAGAATACTCCTGCACTTATTTTTGGAGCTTGCCCAGCTTGCAATGATTAAGGAATGGCAGGCTACTATAGGATGAAGAAGCGTGCACTACTGGAAGGATGCAGGGGTCTCGGAATGTCCCACCGACAGTTAGTTTGAAACTGTCAACGCTACTTTGCCAGGATCTCGCGAAGAAGAGGGACTAGGGTTTCGGGTTTAGGGTTTAGGGTTTAGGGTTTAGGGTTTAGGGTTTAGGGTTTAGGGTTTAGGGTTTAGGGCCAGCATAGAGGAAGTAAGTCGGCAATTTCGGAACTTCTTTCCCCTTCTGGTGGCCAAGACCGCTTGGTTCTCCAGGGGCTTACGGCTGTGACGCGGACTCGAAATGGAGGCCATGCCCCCCTGAGTCACGTGCGAAGGAGTCTAAATCTGAATGAGGCGCCCAAAGCCCGTTTACGTCTGGGCTCGCAGCGATAGCTAGGCAGGCTTCCCCGTAGGGTTTAGGGTTTAGGGTTTGGGGTTGAGGGTTGAGGGTCTAGGGTCTAAGCCTCAAACCCTTTGTACATCCAGGCCTCGTGACGAATGCCGGGCAACGCGCACTGCGAAGCGAGATGAGCAAGCCCTAAACCCTCAACCCTTTTTGAAGCCGAGCTCTCTAGAACCCTCTCTCTCTCTCTCTCTCTCTCTCTCTCTCTCGTACTCAGGAAAGCCGTTTAACCCGAAACCCTAAAGCCTAGACCCCGTGAAGCCTCTGGGACCATCAGCGGGCACATTTCATCTTCCGCCTGCCACAGGCTCGATGCTCGAGGACTTCCGAAGGGGCACCCCGAAGCCTTGAAGCCTCAAGGCTTTCATCCAGAAGGCTCCACCCATAACTACTGATTTCCAGCCACATGCACTGTCTCAGCAAGGTCATCAACTCAAGATATGAGGATAGAACTGACTCGTATCTGGGGGGTATCGCTTTTGGGGTTCACAGCAATACTTGCAACAAATGTCCTGCCCAAGGCTACCTAGAGAGGCGCGGGATTCAGCCAGTCGCTCCAGAACCCGAAAGACCTAAGTCGAACACAGCTGAACATGTTGGTTTCTGGTAGCACACCATTGGCGAGCCATTCGGGGTTCAGGACGCTTCAGGGTGAGCCCTAAACCCTAAACCCTAAACCCTAAACCCTAAACCCTAAACCCTAAACCCTAGAATCCCTAAGCCCGGTCGGTGGGCCATGGCCTGGTCCGATGGCAGCGTCCAGATCTCTCCGGGGAGTCGCCGCAACTGATGAAGGGCTTAGGGATTCTAGGGTTTAGGGTTTAGGGTTTAGGGTTTAGGGTTTAGGGTTTAGGGTTGAGGGTTGAGGGTTGAGGGTTTTGGGCTTCGGCTCCCACGCACTTCAGGGTTTCTGGTTGAGGGCTTTGGGCTCCTTAGGAGTGTCTAGCGTCTAGGATTTACAGTAGGGTCTAGGTTTAGGGTTCATTGTTGCCACCTGCCAAGCACAAGCAGCTTGGGGTACATAAGGGTTCAGATCTTAGGATCCAGGATGTATCGTAGGGTGCCCCAGCCACCGCAAAGCACTTGCGCAGCTGGCATATGGGGGGTTTGCGACATTAGGGTACCCCCAATATCAATATATATATATATACATATATATACATAAATATATATATATAAAGAGAGAGACCCCCCAAATAGTAGGATCAACCTCGCATGGGCAAACAGGGGCAAAGGCGCATCAAGATCTAGATTGGGTGTGCACTTCACACGCCACACTACCAGTACCATCTTCAAGAAGCTAAGAGCGGGGCCGCAACAATTAGAATGGGGTCGTAGAATGATAAAGGGCGCTTTAAGGGAATACGTAACTATTCCGACCGCAAAATTAGCTGAGGCACAGGTGGCTTTGATGGGGTTTACAAGGCAGCCCCAGAAGGGAAGAAGGCGGATCACTAGGGGATCCGGAGCAAGTTTAGTGTCTTAGGTGGGGATCGGGACTTTTCCCAGAACACTGTTGCTCTCTTCGGGGAGCTCCGGCCTTTTCAGACCGATCTTTCCACTCGGCGGAGTTCTCCTGCAGATACTCCTCCAGTAGGGCTCAATTGTCAAATCGCACATGGCTGCTGCATGGATCCCTCACCACGCGTCTGCGCTTACAAAGGCCAACTCTAAATAAACCCCTGCCCCACCCTGAGAACCCCTAAACCCTAAACCCTAAACCCATGCAAAACCGAAGCACGTCCTTCCCAACTTCAAAAGGCGGTATCGGCTTCTGCCCATCGAGGCAATGGGAGAGCAGCACCTGATACAAGCAGCTGCACCGAAGACCCTAAGAGAGCAAATTAACCCCTAAACCCTTACATTGAAACCCTGTTTACATCCAGGCCTCGTGACGAATGCCGGGTAAGCACACTGAGAAGCGAGATGAGCAGCACTCGTAGCTACACAATCACTTCGGCAGCCGATGAGTACATTAAACCCTTAAACCTTTTTTAACCCTCAAACCCTTCAGGGCCTGCGGATGCTTGTGAGCTTTTGGGGTTGCTAAATACCCCGGCATCCCCGGTTTAGGGCTTCGACGCTCACACTGGATCAGGGTTTAGGGTTCCCCCTTCCAACACAGCCTTGATTGGGTTGCAGTTGTGCCAGTCGTAGAAGCGCCGCGTCCGCACCTGTCGGCAAGCTGGTCTGTGAACACTGGGTTGAGGGTTGAGAGTCGGGCCTAAGTCATGGCTTCAGCTTGGGGCCATTCCCATCAAGAATACCAGAACAGAATCATAGAAGCAATGGTAGCTTGATATGAGAACCATATTACAACAAGAGCAATATGGATACTAATCCAAGCGAAGATTAAAACTGACATGATCATATTCTAATATCACGCAATAATGCGCTTTTTAACCTTAGACTCGGGGACCTTTTTGCGGCCCGAAACCCTAAACCCTAAACCCTAAACCCTAAACCCTAAACCCTAAACCCTAAACCGGGGCATTTGTTGAAAGTTCAGGCTTCAGATGCTGGCGCAGGCCCTGGCCTCATCGTAGCTGGGCCGCAGGCAGGCGTGACAGGAGTCCTCATGCGGCTTTCGTGGGTTTTTTTTGGGTTTAGGGTTTGGGGTTTAGGGTTTAGGGTTTAGGGTTTAGGGTTTAGGGTTTAGGGTTTAGGGTTTAGGGTTTAGGGTTTAGGGTTTAGGGTTTAGGGTACACTCGGACAATCCTGTCCCCAAGCAATCCAACCGCTAACTACCAACTCCCTCTCTCACCAGAAACCCTTAGAGTGGGCTTGGGTTTGTTTGGGTTTTGGGGTTTGGCAAGGTAAGGTTGAGGGCTTAGTGCGGGTTCTCTTGCCACCCGCCTAGCTGACCACTCTCGGACGCACTGCAGGCACGAACTGGGAAGACCAGTCACAACGTCGGTGCCTCTAAAGCTCAGAAAAAATTAATATTAAAAAAAAAAAAGTTTGCTTCATGAGGGCGCCTCCAGCAGGAAGATCTAAGCAACCAGGGTCCAGGGCTTAGGGTTCAGGCTGTTTAGGATTGACGACTCTGACACTTGTACATGATTCATGGGCACTGGAAAACTAAGGTCAGAAGTCATAAGTAGGGTAAGCACTATTATCATTGGTTGGAACCTTACTCAGGGCACTTTAACACCACTTTTTGGGCACCCCTGACTCCGAGCAAGCCCCGAACTTTAGGCCCAAACCGCTCCCCAAAATTCCTTCTGCCCCCGTTGAGAACCGGGGACCCATTGATGGGGTTTAGGGTTTAGGGTTGGGGTTTGGGGTTTGGGGTTTGGGTTTAGGGTTTAGGGTTTCGTGTTTAGGGTTTAGAGCTATCAGGGCTATCAGGGCTTGGCAGCGTTAGGACCCTTCCCCCCCCCCCTCCCCCGAAGCGCTCAACCTCTCGCCGTTTGGCTTCCTTTTTGTTTTCCGCGTGGGAGCGGGGTGGCTCATAAGTCGGCATCGCGGCCCGTCTCGGCCTGCTGCTTCCTTGGCCGGTCTCCGGGGCGGCGTTGCTGGGGGCTTACAAAATTAAGGGACCCCTATCATGCCAAGTAGTAGGGCTTAGTAGGGTTCCCTTATTATAAGGACCCCAATGAAGTACAGCGCGCAGGTGTTGGGACGCTCTTGGGCTTGGGAGTTGGAGGGTTTGGAGATGTTTGGAGAGGCGGCACGTAGGTAAACAAGCATCAACTCACGCAAGGCCCCGCAGCATGTTCCAATGCTTTTTTTCCTGAGGCCTTACGCAGCGTGCAAGCGCGAGAGAGAGAGAGAGGGGGGCCAATCGCAAGGCCAAGAGAGAGAGAGAGAGAGAGAGAGAGAGAGAGAGGGGGGGGCCAATCGCAAGGCCAAAGGTCTCGATGAGGCGGGTGTAGTCGCTTTTTTCGGTCTGCTTGCGGTTGAAGTCCTGCGCTGCATGCTGGCAGCTGCAAAGCTAAGACCAACACTGCCAACATCGCGAACTGCATCCATCTCCTCTGACCGGATCTACAGAATCTACAGTCCCATCTCCTGCTATGTGGTCACAAGTACAGCAAGCGCAGTGGCGCCTCTGACTTGCCACGATCTGCAACTGCCGAACCTTTTGACCTGCGTCTAGATCTTGGCGCTTCCGTCCTCCAGCTGTGCGAAGTTCTTCCGCTTCGCAATGAGCTTGCTCAGTGCTGGCGGGTACCTCCCCGGCCCAGGCGCGTCTCAATCTGCTCCTACCTCTTGGGGAAAGGGGTGTCGACCTCCCCTGAAAGAAGTGTTCGACCCATGGTGAGCCCTTCTCTACTCCCCACACCTAAACTTCAGCCCGGCAGCTGCCCAGTGCAGTACCAGCTGCCAGGGGCGTCGCAGATTCCTCGGGGGTGGGGGGAGTCGGGGGAGGTGGCAGAACTTCATGTGAAGCTCGAGAGCTCATGCTGCCCCTTTCACTCATCCTCGCTCCTCGCCTCCTCTCCGGACACCTCCCCCTCTTCTTCTGTTTCTTCTGGGATATGACCGCCAGTCCCTTCTCTCGCCCTTTTGCACAGGCTTGTCTCAGCGCGCCTGGTCGAGCGCGTCGCTCTCGGGGCAACACGCTCAGTCTCTCGCCCTAAACCCTAAACCCTAAACCCTAAACCCTGAATCTTAAACCCGAAGCCCTAAACCCTTAACCCAAACCGGCTTCGATGAGGGCCCACGCAACCCCAAACCTCTGGGAGCCATGGGACCTCCTCTCAGCTCCATGCACACCAATAAAAGAATGAAAGCAGTATATAAGAAGATCAGGAGATAAAGAATACGAACATGCTAAAAACAAGAATGCAAAAAGACTAACCCTAAACCCTTTGTTTACCCTTACATTTTAAGGTTTAGGGTTTAGGGTTTAGGATTTAGGATCGAGGGTTTAGGGTTTAGGGTTTAGGGTTTGGGGTTTGGGGTTTGGGGTTTAGGGTTTAGGGTTTAGGGTTTAGGGTTTAGGGTTTAGGGTTTAGGGTTTAGGGTTTAGGGTTTAGGGTTTAGGGTTTAGGGCTCTAGCTGCTGGCTGCGGGGCTGTTGGCCGGATCCGCCACCCAGGCCTTGGACTCTTGCGAGACGTTGAGCACCTCGCAGGTGCTTCAGCGTCTCAAAGGGGGGTTTAGGGTTTAGGGTCTTTGTTTAGGGTTTTTTAGGGTTTAGGGTTTAGGGTTTAGGGTTTAGGGTTTAGGGTTTAGGGTTTAGGGTTTAGGGTTTAGGGTTTAGGGTTTAGGGTTTAGGGTTTAGGGTTTAGGGTTTAGGGTTTAGGGTTTAGGGTTTAGGGTGTTTCTGGGTTCTGGGGTTTAGGAATGTTGAGGGTCTACCCGGCGCTGTCTCTGATTGAGGTTTAAGCTTTCTTTGCCTCTCGGCTCCAGCATCTTGCGTACGATGCGCAGTGCCGACACAAGGCAGGGGAGGGCATACAGTTACCCTTTTGCTTCAGCCCCCCGAAGAAATGATTTGTAGCAGATCTGGGTGCTAGCCTATCGCTTCCTAAACCCTAAGCCCTATAAACCCTAAACCCTAATTAAACCCTAAACGGCCCATCGCCTTCTCGATCCTTAGAGTGCCTCAGTGATGGAACCCCAGGCCCACGCCTGGAAGATTCGCATCAGCCCGTGCTTCGTCGTGTGGACTTCCTTCCGCTTGCGACATCTTTTTTCGGGGGGACTGCAATATCCCTGCATATGGGGGTTTAAACGCAAATACGGGACTGTAAGGACCCCCATAAGGTACCCCTAAAACCGTGAACCCCCATATGGGGGGCCTGGCTGAAGCGCAGGCCAGCACGAATCTCAGGTTCTAGGTCGTTCTCAGGCCTTCCTTTCAGGGAAGGATTCTCCCCCCCAAGGTCTAGGGGCCCCCTGTCCTTGAAGAGTTTGGGGTTCAACTCGACCCCGGGAAGCAGCTTGTGCTTCACCGCGTTGTAGACAAAGGACCTCGCCACGCACGGCGCAGGCCGCAAGGCCCCAACATGACACCGAAATTATTCAATACTTGAAGAATAATTCATTAACACTTATTTCATAACTAATTAATACTTTCTTAATATTTAATTCATATTAATTAATAAAGAATGAACACGTGCGAAACTCAAAAACGCTCCTGCAACAGCTTGCAAGCCCTACCCCCTGGCACCATGGGACATTGGGGGGAGGATAGGGGTTCACGTTCGCGTGCTTCCGACTGTTTGTTTTGCCTCGAGGTTCTTCACAAGTGCGAGTAAGGTGCAAACTCCATCCAGGAAGGCACATCGAATGCTTGGGTGTGCTGCCGGCACTGCTGGTGAAGGAGAAACCGTTTCCCACAAGTCAGATCAACCCTGCACCTCCAAAAACATGGTAGATATCGAGGCCACGTCCCTTTCTTACGGGTAAAATTGCCGTACGTCTTCCGCAATAAGCCATGTTACGAAACCCAGCGAATACACGGTTAACCCCGAACTGAGCCAGTCCGGATGGCTCCCGCATCATCGGTGTTGGCTCCGGGTACGCCGCGTACTTGCCTCAGGCTGCGAAAGTGTGGGGCCTTGGGGGGGGGGGGGCTTTGGGCGGGGGGCGGGGAGATGCTTGCGTTCTGTGTTTTTGGGGCTCGGAGGAAGGGCAATGCTTCTTGGGGCTCAAATCTCACAACCCCGCTGACAAGTATGCAAGAACCTCCAAGCACTAAACCCGACAAACCCCGAAAGCCTTCAGCAAACTTCGGCGGGAGACTGCAGGTAGGATCCCGTGGGCCGCAGATGTCCGGAAACACCGAGTTCCTGGAACTTCCAGGGGCAGAATGGCGGGTGGGGAGATTGAGCGTGGGTGTTATTCAGTTTTCATGCACCGTCTCTTTTTTGTGCTTTGCATCTTGTATGTATACATACATGTATATATACCAAAAAATAAGAATGTGTGTGTGTGTGTGTATGTATGTATGTATGTATGTATGTACGTACGTACACCTATATACTTATATGCACAGATACTTAAATAAATACATACAAGGATACAGATTCATATATACACACATATATACAGATAGATACGTGCATATAGACAGGGCAATGCATGTCACAGCTCTGAAGTGCTCTTTACTGCTGCCGCCTCATTATCATGAACTCTTCCGCATTAAGAAAAAGGACTTCGCTTGCGCATGAACTGAGCCGCTCGTGTTGCTGTCGCCACTGTGGTGCTTCATGATTTGGTCTTGTGCTGTTAATCCCTGATTGCCGGTCGTTTGCCAGCTTTGGGTCCAGATGTTTTGTACGCGTTCACGGTTTCGACTTTCGGGCTTGTGGCTTGGCCACCTGCGTGCCCCAACGTGTCGTCTTTGTATTCAACATGCCTTCGCATCCAAAGAGGCAGGTGTCTGAACACATACAGGATCTTCCGTTGTGCTTCGCCAAAGCATCAAAGGCATGATGAACGTGCGAGAATTTGGCACCACGTTCTTTCGGATTTTCTGGTGTTGTCATCGTCGGAGTCTAGGGAGTCTATCTTCGCCTTGGCCTGGGTTCGAAAAGCCCGACACGTCTCTACACCCGCAACTCACGAGTCAGCCCTTCAACCGAATTTGGCACTCGTCCCGTCCCGATGCGTGCGAAGTGGGTCGATATCCTGCCGCGGTTCGCAGGGTCTACCACCAGACAGGGCTTGTGACAGGGGGTGAGGGCGCTCAGCTGTTTGGGTCGCCCTTCAAACTGAGGACGACACAGTCGAAACACGCCCAAACCCCAAGCCCTGCTGATGACCCCCCTCAGAACCCCTTAATGCTGCCTTTTAAGGGGTATCAGGAGAGACCCCTAGAAGGGACCCTGAATCTTACTCCGCCATATATCCCCCGGAAAAACCTGATAGAGTCCCTGTATACCTCAGTAGCCCCGAAACAACCCCTAAATAACCCCTACGGTCCCTCACAAGGGTCCCTCCGTAGTCCCTTGCTTCAACCATCAAAGATGCCAAGCAAACAAGAGAATGCAGGGGCGAGAAGACCTTCTATCAAGGGTACCAATCAAAGGAGAATAGAAGGGAGTCTTAGGGAGGACTACCCCCAATTTTTCTTGTCAGAGTATGCCCAAGGGGGTCTGTTGAATATTTCTTGGGCATCAACTTGGTTGCTGCTTAACACCCCAATAAAAATTTACACTTGTAGCTCCCGCAATATGAAATTAGAGGAACTCCAAACTTATAAGGTGCTAAAGTGGTAGTAAAGTCCCACCTAGTCAAGAGTAAACTCTGGGTCGGAACATAGGGGATAGGATTAGGGGGACCCTTGGGGATTTAGACCCTCTGAATAAGGCCCCTGTCTAAGAGAGCCAGAAGACGGTTAAGAAGGGGTTCCCTTTTAAGGGTCCCCTTCTCCGAAACCCTAAACCCTAAACCCTAAACCCTAAACCCTAAACCCTAAACCCTAAACCCTAAACCCTAAACCCCCTTATCCTACCTAGGAGAACAGCGGCCTGAGGTCCGTCTCCCGCTCCCCGGCCCAGACGAGCACATAGTCCGCCAGGTGCTTCCTTTGCCAAGCCCAGGGCTCGGAAGCCCTAAACCCTAAACCCTAAACCCTAAACCCTAAACCCTAAACTCTAAAGTACCCAAACCCTAATTCGGCTTGGGGTAGGAGATGGACAAGTTTGTGGCGAAGATTGCAGGCTGGCACAAGCCAGCTGAAGCGTTTGCTTGGGACTCTCTCTACAAGAGCCGCACGGGCTGAAGCCACTTCACCTTCTCAAGGGCCCAAGCGGTGAAGCATTCGGCTTTGGCAAGGCTCCTGCAGCAAACCTTCGCGCAATTGTAGAGCTCGCTTATTCCACCATGAGCTATGCCGCGCTAAACCACATGACCTGCAGGCACCCCACATGGATTCCGCGATGAATCCCCTGAAACCCCTGGCTTCGTCCGACTCTTACGTAACGCTTGTCGCCAGTTCTTCCGAGGCACATGATGTTGTGCGACTTCTTCACCGGGTTGGACAAAATGCGGCCGATCGTGGCCTTGCTGCAGCTGGCAACCCACTCCACAGGCACGGGGCCAGCAAAAAGCTTAATCGTCCTAGACCTTTCGGGAACTGGTGTACAATATACGGCTCGGACAGGTGTGTAACAGTAGTCCAAGTTTCGATGTGTTCGTGGTTCCACGTGTTGCCATCAGCGACGGAAGTCCGCTTCGCAATGCCGGTGATCTGGTAGCCATAGTCCCACCAAGCCAAAACCTCGGGCCCTAAACCCTGCATGCTAGTATGATCCACAAACGGCCCTCTCACGTACACAACGCACGTTGTGTACTCACCTTCGTTGAGCCCGGCCATCACGGAGGGCGCTCCCAACAGCAAGCAACACAGAGCATCAGCTGCGCCTGCTTGTGGAAAGAAAGAAAGAGAGACAGAGACAGAGACAGAGACAGAGACGTAGACGGAGACAGAGCGCTCCCCACCAGCAAAAATCTTCAGCAGCAGCAGCTGGAAATTGAGAGGATTGCAAGCAAATACAGAGAGTTAACTACCTCTTCAGGACGCCCCGAACCGCAAGCATCGTGAACATCAGCTGAACTCGGCTAGAAGAGGCTGCCCACCAGTCATCAACATCATCGGCGCCCTACCCGCGAGCATGGGGCTAGCATAGTATAGAACAGCAAGAATCATGAGCATCAAGAGCGAGGACGCGCCCAACATCAAGCGTCACGAGCACCGGCTGCAATTGGATTGCGCAGAGGAGTTGCCAAGAGCATCAGCTGCACTGTGCTTGTGGAGGGAGGGAAGGAGGAGAGAGAGAGAGAGCGAGCGAGACCCACCAGCGAGCATCATCAGCATCAGCTGAAATTTGATAGCATAAGTATAGGAGGACTCCCCCAACAGCAAGCATCATGAGAACGCACCAAAGCAATTCCTCCTCTCTCTGCACCTCTGAACCCTAAACAGCAGCGAGCCACTCTGGAATCCGGAGGCGTGTTCTTGTCGATCCAGACGTAGCCTCGCACACTGCAAACCAAAAGGCAACCGCGACTTAGAACTCAGTCGGCCTCGAAGCACTCGAAACCCGCCCTTACACCTCACGAGCCTACGGCCTCGCGGGTTTCACTTCTGGGAAGCCACCAGGCTGAGTTTCAACTCGGGAGCTTCACGAGTCAGCACATAGCGCGTGCCCTTCGGAGCATGCTGGAGCATGCTGGGTAAGGAGGCTGTGTAGCCACACGTGCGATCTTCTCTCAGTGGCTCACGGCATACTTCCTTCGGCCGAGGCCCCCCCCCCCATCCCCGCCGATCCGGGAAATTCTGCGAGTCTCGGGCTGAAGGTGCAAGGTTTACATCCTGGAACCAACCACCCGCGATCCCAGGGTTGAGGCCTTCCAGCATGACTCAACGACGGCATGTCAGCAGAAGCCCACGAGCTGACAGCACCGGAGATACGACGCGGGGAGTTGCCAAGAACCGCCATCCATGGCTTACCACCCCGCAACCCCCCCCCCCCCCCGGGATGTTTTTGTTCGGTGGGACTTCTGGAGGGATCAGGGTGGCCTTGGTAGTAGTCGTCGACAATGATGGTCTTGCCATTTCGAAGCCCTGGGCTGGAGCCCCGGATTTTGCAGGGGGCCTTACAAGGTTTAGGGTTTAGGGTTTAGGGTTTAGGGTTTAGGGTTTAGGGTTTAGGGTTTAGGGTTTAGGGTTTAGGGTTTAGGGTTTAGGGCTTAATCGCTCACACTCGGTTTAGGGTTTAGGGTTTGGGGTTTAGGGTTTAGGGTTTAGGGATCACCCCAATCCTTCAACCCTCAATCACACGAACCTCAAACAGATGCGTCCGAGGCACGTGCTTCGTAGGCTAAGCCAGGACCCGCTAAAGACTCTGCGTGCTGATAGCCTTGGGGAACAGGCCAAACAACATCAAGAGCATGCGCCTAGGGTTCGGACGGGAGCTTAGGCTTCGGGAGTGGAGGCTCTACACGGCCACGTGGGCCAGCGGAACTGCAAGGTATGAGCCAGCTTCACTCGACTCTGCGCGCAGTCAACCGGTTAAAGGCGGCAAGGAAGGAGGCCTTCCCCACAAGTTTCAATACTTTCCGGACCTTGTGGTGGGGATGGGGGGGAGGGCTTGCTCCCCGAAGACCTAGGATGTGTTCTTTGACCCAGCAAGAAAGGGTGATACACGATCACGACGGCCCTGATCTCAGGTCAAGATGGCCCAGCACAGCCTAGCAGCTCATGTGTATACACCCTATAAACCCTGCAACTGCAAACCCTATAAGCCCCAGAAACCCTCTGAACCCCATAAACCCTTACAAAACCCTGAACAAAAACCCTACAAAACCTATTGGTTGGGAGCTGTCGACTGCTCCCCGAGCTGCATTCGTCTTGAGGCTTCTTGACTTGTTGCAGACGTCAGCAACTCCCAACCCTAAACCCTAAAGCCTAAACCCTAAACCCTTACAGCCTTTGTGATCAAAATGCGAAAGCCCCCATTTTCCTAGCTTTTCTAAAGTCACCCCCTTTAGGCTATTAGGGTTTTTTTGAAACGTTGAAGGACCCTAAACCCTAAAGGGTTTTTTCAACGTTAAAAAAGAAAAACTAAACCCTAGATGGGTTTTTAAACGTAAAAAAACAAAAATAAAAACTAAACCCTAAATGGGTTTTAAACGTTAGAGCACCCCACGTCTGCTCCCGGGTGCTGTCAGGCAGCAAAGCGACACGAACTTCTGCCAGGGCTCCTCTCCGGCGCAACCCCCACCCCTCCCCCCCCCCCCCCAAAAAAAAAAAAAATAAACCCTAACCCCCCCCCCCCCCCCCCCCAAAAAAAACAAAAAAAACACCTAAACCCTGTTTTGAGAAGCCCTAAACCGCAAGTCTGCCGCCCTAGACTCCAAAGCCCGTTCCTTGCAAGTCTGAGCCAGCACCGCCCTAAACCCTAAACCCTAAACCCTAACCCTAAAACCTTCCTTCCTCCCAATGACTTCGGCTCCTGGGCCTCCCGCCAACCCCAGCTCATCAGGGCTAAGGCCACGATGAGCCTTGCAGAAGTCTAGGGCTTGGCAGGTTTCGGGTTTCGGGTTTCGGGTTTCGGGTTTAGGGTTAAGGGTTTAGGGTTTAGGGTTTAGGGTTTAGGGTTTTGAGTTTAGGGTTTGGGGTTCAGGGTTTAGGGCTTAGGGTTTAATTTAGGGTTTAGGGCTTTATGGCGTGTTGAACGGAAGCGCGCCTCGTGAGCCCGCATTCGTCTGCAGACCTACCCACCCCCAAAGACCTCCTACTTACAACTCTCATAGAGTTTTAAGGCCTTCTGTTTCTTTATTTATGAGAGTTTTAAGGCCTTCTGCTTCTTTATTTATGAGAGTTTTAAGGCCTTCTGTTTCTTTATTTTAGAAAGCAACAGGTACTCTCGATGTACGGTGGTTTCGATGGCCTTGATATGAAACTTTTCACTGAAGCCACCTCTGAGTTGTGTCACATGGGTCGACTGGAGCACTTGGGACACTTGGGTCGCTGCGGGTCAGGAAATATTTGGGAGAACTGGGAACACTTGGGTTACTTGGGTCACCTGCAGCACTTAGATCGCCTGGGTCGCTTAGGATGCGGGTGCCTGGGCCACTGCGGACATTTCACTCGGTCATTTGGGACACTCGGGTCACTTGGGACACTTGGGTCACTACCAGTGGTGTGTTGCGGGGCACTTGGGTCACTTAGGTCACTTGGTGACACTCCAGACACGCTTGTGACTTGGTGTCACCGCACACTTTGGGTCGTTTGGGATGGGGGCACGGGGGCGACGTAAGACACTTGTCCACTTGGGGCACTTGGCACACTTGGGTCGCCTTATTAAGGGTAAGATAGGGATTATTGTTTCTGTATTCTTTTGGGGTTCTTCAGCAAATCGTAGTAGTAGGACCTACACCTTGGCATGTTCCCCTTATACTAACAGTTGCAATTGGGATGATGGTAGGGGGTACTGTAATCCCCTTTAAGGGCTGTTAGAGAAAAGGGGGAAGGTGCCCCAACCGACACCCTAGATGGGAGCGCCTCCCTTGCCCTTCAATGCCCCAACCCTTTCTAGGCCTGAAGCCCCAAACCCGCAACCCAGAGGTGTCAGCTAGGCGGGTGTGGCATGAACAAAACAACGGTTCAGCGGAAAATAGCACCCACAACCTCCAAAACCTCCGAAACCTCCGAAAGCCCCAAATGCCAAGCCCTAAACCCTAAACCCTACACCAGTAGGCATGGAAACTATCACAGGGTTTTGGCCGGAACCTTGACCTGTGGAGAGGCAAACGGGCCCCGAGGCACTAAGTACCCAGGTGTCTAGCCCAAGCGAAGCGGCCAAAGTGACACAAGCGCCCCCAAGTGACCGAGTGAATGAAGGCCTGGGAATATTCTTTGTTTTTTCGGTGTTCTTAAGCAACTAGTAGGTCCTAGATCCAGCCCAACCCACCCACCAGCCTGGTGAATCGGTCCAGTGCGGGGAGCCTGGTGGCAACGTACGTTCTCCACTTGTCCTGGGCTCTTGGCAGTTTAGGGTTTGCTCGGCGCTATCTCTGAGTCTGAGCAACTGAGCGCGTCTGCACTGTGAACCAGCACATCAGTTTAGGGTTTAGGGTTAAGGGTTTAGGGTTGAACAGGTGGGGCTGCGTAGTCTGCACCCGAAGCCGCCCCTGATCCTCCTGATCTGACCGTGGGCTAATGCTCTCTTCTTTCCATGAAAACCCCCCCCCCCCCCAACGCGCAACAGCAGCAGCGCCACAAAGTTGCAACTTTCGTTGGATGACAATAAGCCCTTGTGCTGTCGGAGTCACGGCAGCCTTTTCAGAGGGCCTTCGAGAGTAAGCTGGGTCTTGTCGACTCTCGCGCTAGCGTGCGAGAGGGCGAGAAAACGGCGGTTCCCGGCGCAGGGTGCAATCCGCGGGTCGAAAGGAGCTTCAGGGTTGTTGTGAAGACTAGATTTCCGTAAACAAAGCAGGCCCTATTCTGCACCGAGAAAGTCCATAGCATGGTAGCTTAAGTTCCTTAACCGCAACCCTGCTATTGAATCCAAGCCTCCACTGCATTGATCTCATCTGTGTAGGTCACCTGGGCTGTATGGTGACACACAGTTCGGCTCGCTGGAGCCTTCAGGGCTTTTTTGAACCTTAAACCCTTTTTGCAACTGGGCTGGGGGACTAGCCAGTCTGAACCTTAAACCCTAAACCCTCAACCCTAAACCCTGAACCCTAAACCGACACACCTGCAGGCCGACCAGATTAGCGGCTGCGACTAAAGCTTGTGGATGCTTTGGGACTTGGCCCAACCAGGATGGGCTATTAGGCCCTATAACCCCCATAAAAAGCCCTATAAAGGCCCTTTTTTAAGGGTTATAGTTTGGGGTTTAGGGTTAGGGCTTAGGGTTTCGGGGTCTTATAGCCCATCCTGGACATCACTGGGCAAGGCGCTGGCCACATCACCATTGAGCAGACGCGGAAGATGGAGCCCATGCCCCCTGGCCGCACAAGAGTCGTTGAACGCGCATTTAGCACTTCCAAGGTGCCACCTCCATCCTGGAGCCCTCCAGAAGCATCGCTGGGTTTAGGGTTTAGGGTGTAGGGTTTAGGGTTTTTGGGTTTTGGGTTTTGGATTTTGGGTTTTGGGTTCGGGGTTTAGGCGAACTCACGCCAGCGCCTGTGCGCTTTGGTGCCTCCTCCTCCGCTGGGGTCGGCGGGGGCCCACAGCAGAGGCGTTTGACCTTCAAGGGCTTCCAAACGTGGATGGGTGCACAGGTGTACAATGACGTGAGGCTAAGGGTTCAATGGCTTTTAACACTGGACGCTAGGCAGTCAGTGACCACCCTGGCACGCACGCGCGCACACACACACACACACCCGCGCGCGCGCGCGCCCAAAAGAAACAAACAAAGCACGCACGGTTGCTCCTTCGCGTTACCCTGGCAAATGCTGTTGCAACGAATTCACGACAGAACTGTTCAACAAAGGCAGCATCATGCTCAGCATCCTGCTCTGAAGTGCTGAAACCGCTGGAATCTTCAGGGTTCTGCTGCAGGCAAGCAAGCAAGCAAGCAGGCAAGCAAGCAAGCAAGCACTCAAGCAAAGCAGACAGGTTGCACATACCGAACCGCTTCTTCCCTCTCCTTTCCCTCTATCCTTGGAGATAAACTCGCTCCTACTATCTCCTACACACACATCATTGCCTTGTAGATCCACGAGCGGGTCAAGCAACAGCTAATCCCCAAACCTAACCCATAGAACCCGCACTCCAAACCCCTTCGTGCATCGTGTGGTTCACCTTGTCACTTGAGGTGGTCGGCGAGAGCACACTGAAAGATCCAAGACTCGTGCTAAAGCTTGACTCCGGGAGGCATTGCCGCACTCCAACGCAACGCCAGACCAACAGTCTTTCAAATGACTGTGCGGACAAAGCAGGCTTTCGAGACTCTCAAGAGAGGGCAAAAGCCCGCCACCAGCTTACTCAACCCCAAACCCCGAACCCCTTCAACCCAGGACACCCTGAACCCCTGCGCCCTGAAACCAACTTTAGGCTGCTGCGCTCCTGCTCAAGACACCAGTCGCCGATGATCCCCACAGGGTAACCTTCAGGGAAGCGCAGACGACCTAAACCTCTGTTTATTCATGTTTCTCCTTCACCTGCAGACATTTAGGGCGTGAACGTGCGCCTGAAATATCCGCCACCCCGCCTGCCAGGATCGACACAATGGGACCGCAGATGATGATGAGGCGGCTCATCTTCCTAGGAGGCATGAAGGATTCAGCCCCAAAAAACTCCAATCCTGAAAAACCTGCGCAGCCGGTGGCGCTCTTCGGGATTCTGAACCTTTCGACCCCACCCCCTCCCACGGAGTTGCCGGGTCGAAACGGGCGTGCTATAGGCCTGCACAAGCAAAGGGCAGAACCCGCCCAAACCACAAATCCAAACGTTGCCTCACATCCCTCTTTCTCTCTGGGTTCGTCCCCAAGAGAGAACCTCTCACGCATCTCCCTGAGCCCCTAAACCCTTAACCCTACACCCTAAACCCTAACCCTAAAGCCTAAACCCTAAACCCTAAGCCCTAAGCCCTAAGCCCTAAAACTATGGACTCTGAGCCCGAGGATCAAGGAGAAGTGGTAGGCCACTGCTGCGAACCTCAGCTCGCCCAAGGGGGGATGGGACCCTTCTGAGGCCTAAAGGGTTGCATGTGGGGGGGGTGGGGGGGGGCCTAAACCCTAAACCCTAGGGCCCCTTTTAGGGTTACTCGTTTCAGGCGGCCCCTAAGATTTTGGGTACCCCAAGAAAGGACCCAGAGTTTAGATCATGTAGCAACTTTTGGGCTTCATGTGGGTCTCCGGCTGGGAGGGGGGGAGGGGGGCGCCACTGGGCTTAAGTAGGCCTTGGGGCCTCGGCTGCTTAGGGCTAATGCTATGCCCCCGAACACAGACACTGTATCACTGTACCCAGCAGTGGCAGCAGAGCGGCAGGACGGGAAAGATCTTTGCAGGCGTTCGCTGGTGCCAACAGAATAGCAGGCCGACGAACGCAAAAAACCTCCAGTAAGCAGGGCATGTGGCCATGGGCCCATGAACACAACCGAGACACACACACACACACACACACACACACACACAGGTATATATATATATATATACACACTCACAATACATTCGAGTGCTAGCAGTCCAAGCCAGCGGCCTCTTACAGGAACACAAACCCTCAAAAAACAATAACTGCGGTGGCAAACACCTTGGAGTGCTCAGGTACATGTCATAGGCCTGCTCGCTGGCCGCCTTGCTCCAGGGTCCCAGCCCCGACACCGGCGCTGGGGGGCTCTAGTGCAGGGTTGCTGCTAAGGAACTTACTGTAGATTGAGCTAACATACATGTGAGATGTATATGCAGTTCTATCGTATTAAAGAATATTAGTGAAGGACATGGTGTCCTTCCTATGCTCCCTAAACTTGTGTTCAACCCAGAAGGACAGTCATGCTGACGTCAGGTGCAGAACACAGGAGAGTCTTGAGAGTGTGCCCCGAACCCTATAAACCCCAAACCCTTAACTACCCCAAACCCTAAACCTAAACCCTACCCTCCAGCCTGATGTTCTGCCACGGAGTCCACGAGGGGGTTCCTGTTATTGGGGACTTCGACTGATTAGGGTTTAGGGTTTAGGGTTTAGGGTGAGGGTTTTGGAGTTTCGCCAAATAGGCGTACTATTGCTTTTTTGGTGGGGGCAGGGGGGGTTCCTCTAATCAGGACTGGGTGCTCTGGGGGTATGTTAAGGGGAGTCCCTGGTAAGGTGCATCGAGATGTTACGGAGGCCCCAGAACTTTCAGAGGCCTCCAGACGGCTTACGGTAGCTAGGGCTTGGGGTCCAGCGTTTAAGGGGCCTCAATGTGTCATAAGCGTAATGCCGTCTGATGGTCTGATGTGCGAAGGCAGCAGGACAAACTTGTGAATGTTCTCAGACGAGTATGCCGGCAAAGCCAAGACAAGCGGCGGTTGACCTCTGACGAGGTCTCTTGAACTTTCTTTGAGACGGACAGCTTGTTTAACAGTTTGTTGTCTGTGCCCGAACCCCAACCCAAACCCCACAACCCAAACCCTGAACCAGACGAATCCAGACGACAAACGCCTGAGAATAAATCGGGTCAGACGCAGAACCCTTGTAGCCCAGAAGCATGTGAACCCCAAATCCTGCTTCCTTCCGGCAGCTTGAGCCCTGTTTGTTTTTAATTGGACCTTCTTGCAGCCGGCTTTGGACCGTGTCTTCTTGATGCGAGGGCTGAGGCCGGCGCAGGCACGTTTGATACAGCTTTGCAACGTTTTCGGGCCTCAAATCCAAAAAAGACCCAAAACTCCAAGCCGCCCCCAGCCCTCAGTGCCAGTAGGTCCCCAACCCAGTCTTCCGGTGCTTCAGGAAGAGGCCCCGGATCCGCGAGGACCAGGGGGAGAAGTAGTTCAGCCTTTGTCTTGTCACACAAAGTTGCCGCCGCAGGTTCTGAGTCCAAGTTGAGGCTCCGGGCTTAGGGTTTAGGGTGAGGTAGCGCATACAACCCTGATCGCAAGCATGTCGCGCACGGCTTCCAGCGACGAAAACCCTGCAACGATCGCAGCAGACCCTTCGTGGTTGCAGCGGCTTGCGCTGGGGGCGATGCGAGGAGTCCTAAACCCTAAACCCTAAACCCTAAACCCTAAACCCTAAACCCTAAACCCTAAACCCTAAACCCTAAACCCTGACGAGCCGAGGAGCTGCATCAGCGCCCAGCAGACCCCGGCCGTGACCTTCGGGCGGGTCTGGGTCGCAGCTAACGGTGGACTAGGTTAAGGGTTCAGGGTTGATGGCTCAGGGTTTAGGGTTTAGGGTTTAGGGTTTAGGGTTTAGGGTTTAGGGTTTAGGGTTTAGGGTTTAGGGTTTCGGCTCTCGCGCTCGCACAAGGCCTAGGGTTTAGGGTTTCAGGTTTAGGGTTTAGGGTGCTCATGTCCACCACTGGAAATTTCCGACAGTTGCGGCTTGGCACTCGCCCCCCTCGAGAAGCAACTCACCTGAGCAGTTTGCCTTCAGACCCTCGAAGCCTATGGCTTCGAGCTTCGAAGTAGGGGGTAGGACTAGGGGGACCCTTGGGGCTATAGACCCTCTGAGAAGAGTTCCCTTTTGAGGGTCCCCCCCCCTAAAACTACCTAGGACGAAGGCCCTGATTCAGCTCAAGCGCCACGCCGATCGATGCGAAGACAGCCACGCGGAACAGGCAGAATCTGAAGATCGAGGCTATGGTGGGGGCTTCCTCAAGATTTTGGGGGCTTCGTCTTCCGAGTGGCTTGGGATGGTTCAGGACACTTTGCGGTCTGTTTAGGATGGATTTAGGTCTAGGACGGCCTATTGCTTGGGGTTTGGAATCCGGGCTTCTCTTTAGGTGGGGTTGGGGTCAACAAGGCCTGCTTTCTGCAGCACATAATTACAAAGTCTCTGGGTTGGGGTCAACAAGGACCGCTTTCTGCTTCACATATAAATACAAAGACTCTAGCTACGACTCTATGTGCCCACCCAGCATATGGAGACGGTGGGGCAAGGATGATGGGCCTCTTCGTCTGGGTCTCTTGTTGTAGAGTCTACGATTCACTTACGGTGCCCTTTCTCTCCGAAACGCAAGACACCAAACGCTTCCCGGCACGATCCGCGCGATCTGCGCGGCACCGGGGCCTCAGGGCGCTCATATTCGGGGCGCGCCGCCGCCGGTACAAGTCGCAGAGCTCTAAAACCTGCGCCAAGGGTCTGCGCATCGTGCACCCGCAGGGCTTGCATCGGGTTTGGCATGGAGGCCGCAACAGACACGTGTACACAGGCACACGCACTGCGGGGCGTTCTTGCTAGGTTGAGGCACAAGCTATGGCAGTAGTGGGGAGAATCGGTTCCTGGGTCCCGCACAGCTGCGAGTTGGAGATGACCACGGAAACGAGTTGACAACAGCGAATACATGCTGGGGCTTCTTGGGATTACCAGACTGGAGGGCCGGCTAAACCCTCAAGCCTTCTAGAGCCTACATCTCTTGAAGCTGCTCGACTCTGCTAGCTGCTGCCAGCTTGGCACATCGCCTGGTAGCCCAGGAAAACGGCCAAGGAGGGCATCTGCTCAATCGATCGCAAAGGCGTCCTGCAGAGATTCTGATCCGAGGCTTAGACCGCGAGCTTCCGGGGTAGAGGCTCGGCTTGGGACAGCTGCGAAGGACTTACAAGGCGAAAAAAGCACAAGCAGAAATCAAGAGAGAGCGAGTGAGAGAAAGAGAGAGAGAGAGAGATAGAGAGAAATATACATGTATATATATATACACACATTTATATATATATATATGATCGCAGATGATAGCAGCTGGCAGACGCCACGAACCACACAAACTAAAGCCCCTAAACCCCTCATCCTCTGCCACCTCTGAGGCTTGAAGTGGGGCTCCGGGCTTCGGACTGTCGGGGCTTTAGCCAGGGTTCAGAGGGTTGTTGGGCTTGCTTTGTGAGGATGTATTGGGATGTTCCCCCTTGTACTAACAGCTCCTGAATAGGGATTCGAATAGGGGGTGCTATATTCCCCATGAAGGACTGTTAGTATAAGGGAACATCCCAAATGATGTAGTTTGAGGAGTCATGGCAAGAAGGCGACTTCTTAAAGTCGGGGTCTAGTCCTGTGGAGCGATGCGACAGAAAACTCCCTGTGCCTGGCTCCTCTACCATGACTGGTTTGAGACACCAAGTTCTCAAACTTCAAGACCTTGCAACCCCACATGGTAGCCGCCAACACCGACCTTATGGAACAGAAACCAACGCAGCCTGGCCGCCTAGCCAGTTCTCCACATCTTTCCACAAGTGGCTGGCTAGTTCAAATGTGCCGCACCAAGCCACTCGAAACTCGAAATCTTATGCTGGTTCTGTGTAGCTGCATACCGGTGCACGGCGCAAACCCAAGAATGCCAACCGAAACCTCAAACTACGCTGCTCAAGCACGTTCTCCTAAGATGGCAGTAGTTGATTGTGGCGAGGTTCACTTAAATGGGCTGCCGTGCTTTTGCAGTAGGGTTTCGGGTTTAGGGTGCGGAGTTCCGGGTTTGCAAGAGGATTCATGGTGAGCGTGCTTCTTCGGATGGCATGGCCCTTGTCTTACTAGGCATTCGCGTTTCGGGGTCCAGCCAACAACAGGCACCAGCGTGGCAAGCGCTGTCCCCAAAGCATACCTCAGCGAACGACATGTTTTTTTCCTGGCTTCCGGGTTGTGAAAACCTTGAACTTACTGAAGCCCTTTCGCCCTGAACTGGACCATCGTTCGCGCTTCAGGAAGACACAACAGATTCTGCCTCCTAGGTGCCACAGCGAGTAGGCACGGTAGAGGCCGGAGTTGTACTTGCCAAGCCCGACCAAGACTGCCGCGTGGAGCCCGATCAAGTTGTTCACCTGACCCGGTTTCGGGTTCTCAAGGGTTACTTCGAGGGCGTAGGGTTGGTTTAAGGGTTCAAACAGGGTTCATGTCAGGGGTCTGGAGGGGTTATGGTCGACCGCACCACAGGAAGGACAACAAGTTGGATGGGCCTGAACCGCGTTCAGGGCTCCGACCCTCACACTAGGCTTCAGGGTTTAGGGTTGTGGTGTCCCAGAAGACCACCAGGCGGAACACCAGCCCCCCCGCCCCCTGGCTCGAAGTCGGGCCAAGAAGTAGCCAGTAGACCAAACACCGATCCACTCAAGAATTCGAGAGACGATCAGACGCAGTGCGCTGATGGTAACCGGGACGGTGCTGTAACAAAGAGACGCAAAAAGGAGCCCCTGCAGGGCTTAGAGGAGATGGAGGTGTTCCCACCCTCAGAGCCGACTTCAACAGCAACCCTAAACCCTAAACCCTTTTTTGGACCCGGAGCTCTATTCATCAATCAGCCGGGAGCCACGCCCAGGGGACATGTGCGGATGTTGATCACCACACGTTCCACTTCTGGGTACGGCTTGAAATTTCGCTTCTCAGTCTACCATGCAAAGACAGCACAACAAACACAAGAAAGAAGTCCACTAGCTCATGTCTAATTCTGCCAACCTTTTCCGTCTTTCATCTCTGCGGCGTTGTTTGGCTTCAAGTCTGGCAGCCGCGTGTTGCTCTCGTAGACATTGCAAATCAGGTGGCTTCTAGGAAACCCTAAACCCTAAACCCTAAACCCTAAACCCTCTACAAAAAAGGATGCGCCGGGATGCGAAGATGTACCCACCCCAGGTGGCCACTGCGCTGGCCTTGGCTTGGCGAAAGGTTACGATGTTTCTGCACCAAAGACAAACAGCACATGTATGCATGTGCATATATATATATATATGTATATGAGAGAAGGAGGGAGGGTGGAGTGAGAACAAGAGAACTAACAACTTATCTGATTAAGAAGAAGACGAAGACATGTATGTTCCAGCAATCAGGGTGGGGGCCCGGGCGTAGGCTAAAGCTGCTGGCACAGCCCATGGCCAGGAGGACGGATTCCGCACCGAGCGGCACCAAAGCCTCGGCGTTTAAGGGGGCACTTGTGTTGTACTCTGACGTGGAGATTTCTGTTTTATTTTTTTTCTTTGGGGGGGGGGGGGGGGGGGGGGGGGGGGGTTCTTAGTGTGCGTCTGTGGGGGACCGGACTTTATTGTTTTGATGTGCGGGAATTTCCGCTTCCCTGAACCACACCTGCACGCCCGCGTGCCATGAACATGCCCCAAGTCCCAAGTGTTGTAAGGGGCTTCGCTAGGCTTGGGCCTCTTTGGTGACCACTGTATCCGCTAATTAAACCTAAACCCTAAACCCTAAACCCTAAACCCTGAACCCCAAACCCTAAACCCTAAACCCTAAACCCATGACAAGAAACCAAAAGGCCGTGCAGAACGCGGCCATGGCCACGCATTCGTTGTCAAACTCTCCTTGCACGCGACTCCACCCGAAGCTTCTCCGACCTCCATCCCTCAGCTCTACTGAAGTTGTTACTGGTTGTTTTTACTATTTTTATTGTTATCATTATTATATTAGTATTTCTTCGTATCAATTTTCGTATTAGTATTAGTACTAGTATTAGTATTAAAGTTAATATTAAAGTTAGTATTAAAGTTAGTATTAGTCTTAGTCTTAGTCTTAGTACTAGTATTAGTATTAGTACTAGTATTAGTATCAGTACTAGTATTAGTATTAGTATTTAGTATTCGCATGAGTAGCATTATTCTCAGTAGAATTATCACTATTCTGATTTAGACATAACAACTAACCCACAAAGCCCTCTGAGCATACGCCGAAAGCCTACAGCCACGACTGGCTGTGGGACCCACGGAATGAGTTTTGCTTCCTTGCGCACGCTTAACGTGTAGGCCGCTCTTTAGCTCCGGGGACAGACCCTGTGACCGTATCGCCATGCCATGTGTTCTTCATGCCATGCCGTAGTCACACATGCTTCAAACTACAAAAGGGCTCTCGAATGTGTCGGAAATTCAAGAACGCCATTGGCACCAGAAAGTAGCATCGGTATCAGAAAGGCACATCTTGCATCACACAGACCACGGAAGAAAGGGCAAACAAAAACATCTGGCCAGCGCCTTCTGCTATGGACCGTGCCACTGGTCTGTACTGTCATGGTGTGGACATGTGTGGAGTAGGTAGGCTAGGTTCCGGCTTCGTGCTCGTCAGCTATTGTGGCTGTTCAGGCCTGTCCTGTCATCGAGCGCATGAGGTGCGCGGGGATGATGGCCATGACCACAGCGGCTGCAACACCAGCACCGGAGCTTTCTGATGCCTGGCGGTTGACCGTGATGCACCCGAAACTACAAAGAAATGTACCACTACCCGACAATGTCGGGAAAAGACTCTGAGGCCTCTACCGCTACAGCCCTTCCACCCCCACAAGGCCCCTAACTTTGAGCCCCAGATCCCCGAGAATCCCTAGACCCCAAACCCTAATGTCGCGCAGCCTCCCAGGTCAGTAGGAAGATGGAGAAGGTGGCCACGACCGCAAGCCTGGTCCGGAGTTGAAGTTCCTTGTCCTAGGGAGCCCACTGGGAGGTTTCCTGATTACTTGCACGCAAAAAGGGGGGGGGGGGTCATGTGTAAGTCGCTTCTGAGAGATACCCTCAAGTCACGGTAAGAAACCGACAACCACCTACAACTCCAATACTAGCTGAGGACCCCACTGGTCAGCACCGATGAACCTCCAAGCAGCCCAGCCTCAACCCCAAACCCTAAACCCTTTTTTACGGCCTAAACCCTAAACCCTAAACCCTAACTGCCCCCGGCTTCCCCCAAACGCAACTGAGAACCGGGCCATGCTGGGACCATGACGCAAACCTTGCAGCCGCGCTGTCTGCAAGGGTGTTGGGGTGAGGGTTTGTTTTTTTGGGGCACCCGCATAGCTGGACGAACCAGACTTCAGGATGGGTAGGGTTTTCCCGAAAGCATCGCGAAGGGTTCTTCCCTGCGGAGCCCCCTGACACAACAACATACAACTGAAGTGCATAGAGTGAAGTGCATAGAGTGAAGTGCATAGAGTGAAGTGCATAGAGTGAAGTGCATAGAGTGAAGTGCATAGAGTGAATTGCATAGAGTGAATTGCATAGAGTTTAGTAATCAGTGAATACAAATTTCTAGATTTACGTAGAATTTACTAGACCTTCGTACCCAGTCCTAGATTTCTAAATTAAAATTACTCTTTCTAAGGCGGCGGGCTGGGTTGACATCGCCAATCGGGATTGCAACCCTCTGCGGGTTTCGGCGTGGTCGCGGTGCTAAAACCGTCGTTTTTTTACGTTTCTTGATTTGCGCGGACAACCCTCTGCGGGTTTCGGCGTGGTCGCGGTGCCAAAACCGTCGTTTTTTTACGTTTCTTTGTGTCCGCGGACAACCCTCTGCGGGTGATCGCCGGGTCGCGGCGCTAAAACCGTCGTTTTTGGAACTTTTTTCCGTGGCCGCAGACAACCCTCTGCGGGTTTCGGCGTTGGCGCGGTGCCAAAACCATCGTGTTTTGGCCTTTTTTGACAAACAAACGTAACCCCTCTGCGGGTTGCGGCGTTGGCGCGGTGCCAAAACCCTCGTGTTTTTGCGTTTCTTGTCATGCAAACGTAACCCCTCTGCGGGTTTTCGCGTGGTCGCGGCGCTAAAACCGTAGTGTTTTTTGCGTTTTTTGCGTTTGTTTTTCGACTTGTGTAGTACAGACGTAGTACGCCGGGGACTTCCGTGGCTGGAAAATCGAGTTTTGTAGTACAAATGTAGTACGCAGGGGACGCCCGGAGCTTCCGTGGCTGGAAAGTCGACTTTTGTAGTACAAACGTAGTACGCCGCGGACACGCGGAGCTTCCGTAGCTGGAAAGTCGACTTTTGTAGTACAGACGTATAGTACGCCGGGGACGCCCGGAGCTTCCGTGGCTGGGAAAGTCGATTTTTTGTAGTACAAACGTAGTACGCCGCGGACACGCGGAGCTTCCGTAGCTGGAAAGTCGACTTTTGTAGTACAGACGTATAGTATGCCGGGGGCGCCCGGAGTTTCCGTGGCTGGAAAATCGACTTTTGTAGTACAAACGTAGTACGCCGCGCACACGCGGAGCTTCCGTGGCTGGAAAGTCGACTTTTGTAATACAGACGTATAGTACGCCGGGGACGCCCGGAGCTTCCGTGGCTGGAAAGTCGACTTTTTGTAGTACTCACGTAGTACGCCGCGCACACGCGGAGCTTCCGTGGCTGGAAAGTCGACTTTTTGTAGTACAGACGTATAGTACGCCGCGGACGCCCTGGGCGTCTGAAAACACCGCAAATAGCATGGTAACGGACATCTGGCCGCTTGAAAACACCGCAAATAGCATGGTAACGGACATCTGGCCGCTTGAAAACACCGCAAATAGCATGGTAACGGACATCTGGGCGCTTGAAAACACCGCAAATAGCACGGTAACGGACATCTGGGCGCATGAAAACGCCGCAAATAGCATGGTAACGGACATCTGGCCGCTTGAAAACACCGCAAATAGCATGGTAACGGACATCTGGGCGCTTGAAAACACCGCAAATAGCACGGTAACGGACATCTGGGCGCATGAAAACGCCGCAAATAGCATGGTAACGGACATCTGGCCGCTTGAAAACACCGCAAATAGCACGGTAACGGACATCTGGGCGCTTGAAAACACCGCAAATAGCATGGTAACGGACATCTGGGCGCATGAAGACGCCGCAAATAGCATGGTAACGGACATCTGGGCGCTTGAAAACACTGCAAATAGCATGGTAACGGACATCTGGGCGCCTGAAAACACCGCAAGTAGCATGGAAGCGGAATTCCGGACATACTTGAAAACCTCGCAAATAGCATTCCCGCCGCGGACACCCGGAGCTTGCGTGTCGAAACCATCGCAAATAAACCATCGCAAATATCGCGGGACTCAAATTCCTCGAAACCCTTAAGGCTGAAGCAACAGAACTAAGATACAGGCACCAAGCAAGTAAGATATTGGATTTTGCCTCAAAGAGCCCTCTGGTGTGATGTACTCAAGCTCTATTTGAGCTCTAAGCCTACTACAGGAGAAAACTTAGGGTTCTTGATCTAAACTCTAGGCTCTGACACAACCAGCAGTGAATCCTTATAAAACCCTAAACCCAAAGCTCTAAAGCAGCTGACAATAAATCCCTCTCAGCCCTAAGCCCTAAGCTCTAACGCAACCAGCAATGAATCACTATAAGCCCTAAATCCAAAGCTCTAAAGCGGCCAACAATGCATCCCTCTAAGCCTCTAAACCCTAAACCCTAGACCCTAGGGAGAAGAGGACACCGTGGGAACCTGTTTTTGGGGCAGGTTATTGAAAAAATCCTGAAGGAGAACACGAGCATACTTCGAGCAGATAGCGAAGCCTGTTCCCTAAAGCTTGTCGCTGAATCCTAAAGAGCGGGATCCCTGAATCTTACTCCCTTGGTTTCATTCCCTCAATCCCTTTCTCTAAGCCCTAAAGAGGGGCAGCATTAAATCCTAAAGCGGAGAGCCCCTAACTTCAAAAATTAGCAAATGATCCCTAAGCCTTGTTCCCATCCTCTTCCCTAAGCCGTAGTCCCTTTATCTGTCCTATTGCGTAAACCATGAGGCGTGTGGTCCTTTACTCCTAAAGAACACGACGCTATTCCCTAAATCCCTTTCACTAAATCCTAAGGAGCAGGAATCCTAAATCGAAGTCCAATTCCATAAGCCCTAAACCTCATTCCTTAAAAACCATAAAGACAAGAGCCTAGGAGAGCCCATAAATCTTCGAGAACGAACTCTATTCCGTAAATCTTGTCGCTAAATCCTAACGAGCGGGATCCCTAAATCTAGCTCCCTTCATGTTACTCGCTAAATCCTGCTCACTAAGCCCTACTTCGAAACAACAGCTGAACATTGAAGGGCAGCTATTGGGACAAACCTAAGCCCTAAAGAGGGGGCCTTTAAATCTTTACGAACTAAATCTGTTCCGTAAATCTTGCCGCTAAATCCTAAAGAGCGGGACCCCAAAATCTTATTCTCTTCATGTTACTCGCTAAATCCTATGCCTATTCCCTAAACCCTGCTACAGAACAACATCCGAGAGAAATGAAAGATATTGAGGACAGCTATTGGGACAACCTGTGGGCCTAGTGAGCCTCGGTGCTTTGGAACCCATTCTGCGTTTAAACGGACGTTGGTTTCTGTATTTAACTTGTCTTCATGTGTGAGTTCGTGAAGTGGCTCGCAGTCTAAAGTAGGGAGGGGAACCAACGTAATAACGAAAAGTATTGATCTAAACAGTCTATTCTTTTAGTTTTTGTTGCAAATACTATTTTAGGTAGGGGCCATTTATTATTAACCACTGTTTATACGAGAAATTGCCCCAACATACCATAAATTTCTAACATCTGATTGTAGCGATGAAATTGAAGCTAGTTATGAATCACATGTTCAGCCACGAGTCTTGTTGAGATAGACCCCTGGTAATGTAGATTTGTCTTCGCTGCAACCTAGAATAGCAATCCGGAAAATGATTGCGTAACAACACATTACTTTCAGATTATTTTAGCTAGGGCCATTCACAACAAAGCACATGTTCAAAGGTTACATTTGTGTCCGCTGCAACCTAGACCAGCGATATCCAAAAGATGATTTGGCGCGTAACAACACAAGACTTTCAGATGAATTAAGCTAAGCCATTCACAAAGCGTATGTTCAGAGGTTTGAAGCCGAAAAAGGTGGATCAATGAGGTGGGGGAAGCAATCAAAAAAACATAAATATATATATATATATATATCTCTCTATATATCTCTATATATATCTATATATATATATATGTATCTTTTCTTTTTTAAGTGGATCGATGTGGAGTTTTCAGACATGTACAGATAACAGAGGCAGGCCCGCAATACTGAAATATTGGAAAAATCAATACTTCAGTTTTGGGCCCTTGGATCTTGGAAACTTTTTCGGAGGCCATCGTGGCTCCATGGCCCCAATGTTGCAAAATATTGAAAAAACTCAATGTTTCAGTATTGGGGCCCTGGATCCACGATTCCTCCCAAAGACTTTGTCTGAAATCTTGGATCTTGGATCCCGGGGCCCAAGATTGAAATATTGAAAAATCAATATTTCAATACTGGGGCCCTGGACCCAAGATTCCTCCCAAAGACTTTTTCTGAATTCTTGGATCTTGGATCCTGGGCCCCAATATTGAATATTGAAAAATATTCGATGCTTGATAATTGGATCCCTGGATACAAGATTCCTCCCAAAGACTTTTCTGAACTCTTGGATCTTGGATCCTGGCCCCCAATATTGGACGATTGAAACAAACTCAATATTTCAACATTGGGTCCCACGTTTTCAGATATCATACGAAGACATAGGTTGCCACAGCGTCCTCTTCGCTCTAAAGCAACCAACACATGCATCCCTATAAGCCCTAAGCCCTGAGATATAAGGCAACCAACAAAGCCCTAAGACCTGACTGAATAAACACAACGAAAATGCGAATCCCAATAAGTCCTAAACCCTGACAACCAAAAATGAATCCTTGTAAGCCTTAAAGCCTGAGCTCTAAAACAACCTGAATGAATCCCGATAAGCCCTGAGCCCTAAGCCTTATAAGACAAACCAAAAATGAATCCCTATAAGCCCTCAGCCCTAAACCGTTAACCTTGGCCTGGGGGACTAAGGACCAGGGACAGGCAAACGACCACAGTTTGATTGGCCCCCTCTCGCAACAGACCCTTTCCATGAATAGACTTCATTCCCCTGTCATGCTGTTTGTTTTTCTCATCTCCCTGCCACCACGCTGCCCTGCCCCAGCCCCTTTATTTTATCATGCACTCAGGACCCCACGACAAAAGGGCTGATTCCCAAAGCCTCCTGCCCCACCCCCCCCCC